AGTTACAAGTACTTCCTGTTTTATGGCAAATCATCGATTTTGGACGCCACGCCACAGGCACGCCATTCCACGAAAACTCTAAAGTTTGTACAACTTTTAAACGTCAATGGGTTTTGACTGCACAGCAAAGTTAAGTCGGACTAAATCCCTAGGAGGAGTTCATTAAAGTACGGAGTGTGTAAATCATTAAAAAATGAACATAAAATTCAAAATGGGCGACTTCCTGTTGGGTTTAGGACATCGCTCCAAGAGGCTTTTTGGTATGTCTGGACATAATACATGTGTCACAGAAATTTCATACATGTAGGTAAAACGTGGCAGGGGGGCTGCTTCGTTAAAGGTTATTGGTGCTATGACCATGGGTGTATGTGTTCAGGGCGGGACTCTTATTAAACGTGTAAAATTTGGTACAGATCTGAACATGTATATTCAAGTTACAAAAACTTTCTGTGTTGTGGCAAAGCATGGCACTTTGCGCCACACCCCTGCAAAGCCATAGCCAAAATTCACTAGTTTTACAACGTGGCCTCATCAATGTGTTAAGGGTTATCTGGGACAACTTTGAAGTTGAAATGTCCAACCTGCTAGGAGTAGTACATTACAGCATAAAACATGTCATTGCCTGTTGCCAGCAGGTGACGCTATGAGTTTGAGTGAATATTGGCATGTGAATGTTTTCAGGGCGGGACTCTTATTATACATATCAAATTTGTTGCAGATTTGAGCATGTACACTGAAGTTATAACAACTTCCTGTATCATGGCAAATCATCGATTTTTGACGACATGCCACGGGCAAACTGGTCGACTCCAGTTCGCTAGGAGGAGTTTGTTAAAGTACAAAGTGTGTAAATCGCCATTAATCCTTTTGGGTTTAGGCAATGGCTCCAACAGGCTTGTCTGGACATGATACACGTACCACAGAAATTTTGTACAAGTAGGTGAAACTTTGTCTGGGGACTGCTCTGTAGGGGGCACTAGCGAGCCATTTTGCCATGCCCATGCGCGAAACCCATAAAATACCAAGTTTTTCGCCCTGCCTGAATTATGTGCAAAGTTTGGTGAGTTTTTGATTATGTTTAGGCCCCCAAAACTGAGGTTACTTTGAGGGGGGGAAAAAATCCCATCACTTTCTATATGGACCTCGCATGGTTCGTTCTCGGGCCCCAAAAATAAAATAATCCCTTCAGTTTCAATGGGGACCTTGCATGTTTCATGCTCGTGCCCCAATAACGTTGCTGTCTCCACAAGGGGTCATTAAATTTGTCTCCACCAGGGCTCCAAGGTCAGGCAACACAGGTTGGACCATGTGCCACTTGAGATCCAAGCACAGTCCGTTGACCCAGATTTGAATGGGACACAAAGACAGAAGACCCAGAGAGATGACCATTGACACTACTGTCAGCATGCCCAGCAGCTTGAGAAAAAGACCGTATTTCAACACCTCGACCCTCTGAAAGCAATCTAGAAGTTGCCGAATATCCTGCACCCTCTTTGGAGAAAGGAAGGCTCTCATTAGTCGAGTGTCATACCCAGGTAATTTACCCTCTGACTATGTGTAAGATTGCTCTTTGTGTTATTCACCATAAGGCCCAGCCGGTTCACATGGCCAAAGAGCATACCTGCGTCTCTGACTGCCTGCTCTGCAGTCAAGGAAACAATTAGCCAATCGTCCACGTAGGGCAAGATCATCAAACTTGCAGTTTGCATTGGGGGAAGGGCGGCTGCCACACACCTCGTAAATATACAAGGGGCTAGTGAGAGCCCAAACGGCATCACCGTCAATAGGTATGCCTGTCCTCAAAAGTCGAATCTCAGGAACTGCCTGGGGTGCGGTGCAATAGGCACTTGAAATTAACACAAACCAGGCTCCCTGTGTCACTGACTAGATGACTAGATCTGCCATCCGTAACGTTCGGAATGGTAGCACCTTTAAGAACTTGTTTAGCCCCCTTAGGCCCAGAATCCAACTATCCGACAGCGCTACCTGGGGACTTCCACCCCAGGAAATGTTTTATTTCTACCTTGACTAACCCCAAATTATACAAAAGCTTCACAGGTTTACTGAAGTAAGACAGAGACATGGTTCCAAAAGAATTACTTATTTATTGGAATTAGATAATTGGTAAGTGGAAGTGCCTGAAAAGACTATGGTCAATAATACGAATAACTAATCAAATTACTAGGGCTGTCCCCGACTAAGGATTTACATAGTCGAATCAGAATCGTCAAGTCTTGCCTATAGTCGACTGGGGTAGGGGGTAACACATGGTGGCTCCGCTTTAATCTTGAGAAGCTACAGAGCTGCAGTTTCTTTTCATTCAACTTACACTGTAAATTTCCAGCTAAACTGACGCTTTATAAAGACCCTTTTCTCTCTCTTTCTCGCTTAGCGTGCATGCCGACAATTGCATGCACGTTGCGGTTCCTCGAAGGTCTATTTCAAGCAGACAGCTATTTAAAAACGATATGTTCTTTTTGTGGTTCATCAACGTTGATAAATTATCCGAAGGTCCCACGAGGTGCGGACAACTCGGCACAACACCGGTGAAGTGTTCCTCCACTGCCACTACACATACACACTACGCATACACACGTGCACTGACGAACCAGAGTTAGGGTTATAATTTTGGATTTATTCACGCACTTTAAAAACATTTATTGAAAGTTTTTTTCTTTTTACATGCTTATTTACAGCATTAAACATTGAAATGTATATTGTAATAGGCTGTATATTAAGTTAGTGGGAGAAAACTGGTAGTTCTATGTAAAATCAGACGTTGAGTACCCCCATATCGCCAAAATGGCATGATCCTTGTTTCGCTGCAAAGCTTCAGGCTCTGCCCATCGAAGCATCAAATCTTTGACTATTAGGGGTCAGCCCTACAACTTACAATAGAAAATAAATTACAATTTCAGCAATCACAAGTTAAATACACTCCCAGTTAGTGCTTCGGCTAGATAGTGCAGAAAAAGGGTTGGATGATGAGTGGAGTGAGACTTATCAGGTAGTGGCACCGACTGACGACAACATATACTGTCCTTGGCACATGAACATTTTTGGTCACTTACGAGTTGGAAAGACCTATCATCAAGTGCTTCAGCAGTTTTTTATGGCATGGTTTAAAATCTAGCATAGTGCACTACTGCAAAACTTGCCACATTTGTGAGATGTTAGGCAAGCCAAACCAGCCTGTGCCACCTGCTCCATTATGGCCCAAGGGCATTCTGAAGTACAAAACATTAAAGATTCAGATGAAGGGGTGGCTTTTGCTCTTTTTGTCGTCAGAGACTCTAAACAGGAGTTGTTAGGATTCTGAAAGAAAAACTGACGTGTTTGTCCTGTAATGTGGCAACAGAAAACGGAGCTTATGAAGAAGGAAGTCAGTTACCTAGTCGAGCATGGTTTTGCTAAGCCCAGTTACAGCCCTTGGAGTTCCCCTTGGAGTAAGTGATTCTTTTCCCCTGCCGCCCACAGGTGACCTGGTCGATAGAGTGGGTTCTACTTTGTTTATCACTGAATTAGATTTGCTAAAAAGGGTATTGGCAGGTCCCCTTAACTAAGCATAAACTACGCCTCTGACATTTCAGCCTTCGTCACTCCAGATGCGTTTAAACAATACACTGTGATGCCGTTTGGTATTAACGTGCCTGCCACCTTTCAGCGCCTAATTTGCCATATCTTCGGCGACTTACCAAACTGCTGTGTTTATTTGGATGTGGTGATGTACGAGGTATGACTGGGGGAGTCACATGTCTAGTTTAAAAATGGTTCTCACACTCTTAGCCGATGCTTCCCTCGCACTAAACCGAGCAAAGTGTGAATTCAGAAAAGCTACGGTCACATACCTTGGGAAACAGGTTGGTAAGGGACAGGTTCTACCTGTAGACGCTAAGGTTGAGGCTATTGTGTCATTTTCAGCTCCTACCATTAGGCGAGAGCTTAGACGTTTTCTAGGCATGGTGGGCTATTATCGCTGTTTTTACCCAAACCTTTCAGATATAGTTGCTCCCCTGACCAAGTTATGTAGTCCTGTGGATCCATTAGTTTGGACCGAGGAATGTGAAAATGCCTTTCAATTGGCCAAATCTCTCGTTCACAGTGGCCCTGTGTTAGCGGCCCCAACTTCATTCTGCCTTTTCAGCTGGAGTTAGATGCCAGTGCTATTGGAGCTGGGATGGTGCTGTTACAAGAGGGTGACGGAGGGATACGTCGGCTTGTTTGATTCTTTTCAGCAAAGTTGAAAAAGCACCAACTAAACTACTCGACTGTTGGGTCTAGTTCCCAGTTGGTCACTGTGTACACCGACCATAACCCGCTTGTGTTTCTGAGCCAAATGCCTGATGCGCTGGGCAGTCCTGGCCCAGAACTACAATACTGCCATCAAGCACAAGCAGGGAGTTGACAATATTATGGCAGACTGGTTGTTGCTAATCAGCTGCAGGAAATAAGCCCCCAGAGGTGGAAAGGGAGAATCAGATTTTGTCTGCGTTGTGTTGCTGTTCTGTGGTGTGGTATGGTAAGCCGCGGGCAGTACTGGAGAGGCTGACGGTGAGGCGTGGGCAATCATTGTGGACCAGTTCCCGCAGTAGTGGCCGCTGTGTCTACTGTGTGCTGTGCGCTGACGTCCTCCAACTCCAGCAGAGTGCAGGTGATATGGACTTTCCGTGAGCCAGTTCAGTCAGTAGTTGACAGTTTGAAGGGGTCTTTTCAAGTGGGTCACAAATACTTGATCTAGTATTTCAAATGACTGGATCACTTAGTTTGCATTTTCAACATATTGATTAGACTTTACACAAAATATGCATTATTTACCCTGATTTGCAGTGTCTTTGGTTTCTTTTTTGTTCCCTCCATCACATCCATGCCACTGACGATAATATCCTAAAGATTATCATTTGTTCCCTCCATCACATCCATGCCACAGACGATAATATCCTAAAGATTATCATTTGTTCCCTTCCCACTCCTTAATAAACAACTTCGAAAAAGGGAACATATGGAAAATTCTGTCTATGTAGGTGGCTTCGGTATGCAGTAAACAGCATTTAAAGACTTTTACATACATATTTTAAAATAAACACAAGAGAAACTAAATACAACAAAACACTAAAAGACAAGGAAAACTGCTGTGGTTCTTAACAACATGCTTAGTGAACAACTTCTATCCTGTGTGGACTCTCATGTGTCTCTTCAGACTTCCATGTGCTGTAAATCTCTTCCGACAAACATCACAGCCAAATGGTTTCTCTCCTGTGTGGACTCTCATGTGTCTCTTCAGAATTCTCTGTTCTGTAAATCTCTTCCCACAAAGCTCACAGCTAAATGGTTTTTCGCCTGTGTGTACCCTCGTATGAATTTTAAGATGTGTGTGCTGGATAAATCTTTTACCACAAACATCACAACCAAATGGTTTCTCTCCTGTGTGGACTCTACTGTGTGTCTTAAGATGTGCCCGATGGCTAAATCGTTTATCACAAACATCACAGCCAAATGGTTTCTCTCCTGTGTGGACTCTCCTGTGTGTCTTAAGATGTGCCCGATGGTTAAATCTTTTACCACAAACATCACAACCAAATGGTTTCTCTCCTGTGTGGACTCTCCTGTGTGTCTTAAGATGTGCCCGATGGCTAAATCTTTTACCACAAACATCACAGCCAAATGGTTTCTCTCCTGTGTGCACCCTCATGTGTTTCTTAAGAGTTCCCTGTTGTGTAAATTTTGTCCCACACACATCACAACCAAATGGTTTCTCTCCTGTGTGGACTCTCATGTGTCTCTTAAGATTTCCCTGTTCCGTAAATCTCGTCCCACAAACATCACAACCAAATAGCTTCTCTCCTGTGTGGATTCTCATGTGTTTCTTAAGATTTCCCTGTTCTTTAAATCTCATTCTACAAACATCACAGCCAAATAGTTTCTCTCCTGTGTGCCCTCTCATGTGTTTCTTAAGATGTCCCTGTTGTGTAAATCTCTTCCCACAAACATCACAGCCAAATGGTTTCTCTCCTGTGTGGACTCTCATGTGTTTAATAAGAGTTCCCTGTTGTGTAAATCTCTTCCCACAAAGATCACAGCCAAATGGTTTCTCTCCTGTGTGGACTCTCATGTGTGTGTTAAGATTTCCAAGGAGTGTAAATCTCTTCCCACAAACATCACAGCCAAATCGTTTCTCTCCTGTGTGGACTCTCATCTGTGAATCTACATTTTCCTTCACTCTGAAACATTTCTTATTAACCAGACGGCTGGAGGACCTTTTTCCTGAATGACACTTCATGTGTCTCTGAAGAGACCCCTTGAGGTGATATTGTTTACCACATTCAAAGCAGCTAAATGATCTTTTCCCAGCATTACATCCTGCATCACTTACAGGAGCTTCCTTATATTTCAGAGCATTTACACCTGACTCAGGTGCTCTGGTCTTCTTCCAACCATTGTCACTGTCTTCACTTTCAGCTTCAGAATCTGACAAAGGTTCTTGCCAGTCATTATCACTGACTTCAGTGTCTGAAGCTTTTTCAGCAGTATCTGGTTGTAAATGACTATCTGGATCAAGGTTCCCAGCAGGTTCTGATCCTCCATCAGTTTCTGTTTTTATCTGCGTAGCTGAGCTGCTGGCTGAAGGCTCTGCCTCTCTGTTGTCCTCAGTTTGGCTTTGATGAAGCTGTGGAGACTGAGGTTTCTCTTCCTCATCTTCACTCTTCACAGTAACAGCAGTGAATGGGAACCTGGTGATATCAGCCACCTCCAGCCCATTAAGCTGCTCTCCCTCCTGATTGGTCCAGAGTTCCTCCTGTTCTTCTTTTATGTGTAGGGGCTCTGGGTCCTCCTGGTCCAGACTGGGGCTCCACTCAGGGGGAGTCTCTTCTTTAATCACCAACAGCTGCTGGACATCTGCAGGGAACACTGAAACACATAACCAAAAAACTGTCCAGGAAAGTAATAAAAATAAATGGAAAATAAAAACTAATCTATAATGCGGAAGATGGAGTTCCTTTAACAAATATTAGGATACAGATCAAGACATGCAATGTAACATGTAATCATGGTGATAGTGCACAACATCATTTGCTTAAAAATTTGTACCTTTATTCTCATCCAGTCTTTCAAATTAAATGACCGACTGTGTCGATTTTAACAGCCCTCAAGGACGACGCAGTATCTCACAAAAGTGAATACACCCCTCACAGTTTTGTAAATATTTGATTATATCTTTTCATGTGACACTGAAGAAATTATACTTTGCTACAATGTAAAGTAGTGAGTGCACAGCTTGTAGTGTAAATTTGCTGTCCCCTAAAAATAACACATCACACAGCTATTAATGTCTAAAACCACTGCAACAAAAGAGAGTACACACCTAAGTGAAAATGTCCACATTGGGCCCAATTAGCCATTTTCCCTTCCCAGTGTCATGTGACTTGTTAGTGTTACAAGGTCTCAGGTGTGAAAGGGGAGCAGGTGTGTTAAATTTGGTGTTATCGCTCTCACACTCCCTCATACTGGTCACTGGAAGGTCAATATGGCACCTCATGGTAAAGAACTCTCTCTGGATCTGAAAAAAAAAGGTTGCCCTACATAAAGATGGCCTAGGCAATAAGAAGAATGCCAAGACCCTGAAACTATGCTGCAGCAAGGTGGCCAAGACCATCCAGCGGTTCAGCAGGACAGGTTCCACTCAGAACAGGCCTTGCCATGGTCAACCAAAGAAGTTGAGTGCACATGCTCAGCGTCACATCTAGGGATGGGGATCGTTAATTTTTATTGATATTGATACCATTATTGAGACTGCTTAACGATCCAAGTCTTTATCGATACCACTATCGATACTTTACTATTATTTGATTACGGTTATTTGGTAAGACAAGACTCAGTGGGCATGAGGCAGGCCTGCACTGTATGAGGAAAATATTTAATGTGCGATAACATTGTTATAATGAGATTACATATCACTTGCAATAAAGTTCAAAGCAGAGATTACTACACCGAGAACACCGAGATTTCTGGCAACAGGCGTAATGTGAGTAGACAAGTGACGGATAGAGGGCATAATATGTTTAGTAATGTGCTGGGGTCCAATTATGGGGATTTCTGTTTTGTTTGAATTGAGTTGTAGAAAGTTTATTGACATCCAGTCTTTTATATCAGCGAGGCAGGCCCGGAGGGAACGCAGCAGACTGAGTGCAGTAGGCGGGAGGTACAACTGAGTATCGTCCGCATAGAAATTTAATCTATCTATCGGCGGATAATGTCACAATGAGCGTCAGACAGAGTTTATTTCCAGTTGCCAGTAGGTGGCGCTACAATTATAACTGAATAATGGCATGTAGATGCTTTCGGAGCGTGACCATTATCAAGCATGTACAGTTTCGTGGAACATGCACGCCGTTCCACAAAAACTCACCGTTTCTACAACTCTTAATCTCCAATGGGATTAGACTAGACACCCAAAATCTGAAGTCAGTCGGACTAATGCTCCTGGAGGATTTTGTTAAAGTATGGAGTGTGTCAAACATGCTATGGGGGCTGCTTCGTTAAAGGTTATTTCCTGTTGCCAGCAGGTGGCGCTATGACTATTAGTGAATTTTAGCATGTATGTGAGTTTAGGGACTTTTATCAAAGCTGTACAATTTGGTAATGATTTGATCATGTACATTCAAGTTACAACAACTTCCTGTGTCATGGCAAAGCATTTAACTTCCCCGGCACGCCACCACCACACTGTTAGCTGCAAACTCAGAAGTTTAACAACATGGCTTTATCAATGTGTTCAGGGTTTTCTGGGTCAGTTATGAAGTTGAAATGGCCAACCTGCTAGGAGTGGCAAATCCTAGCGCAAAACATGTTATTTCCTGTTGCCAGCAGGTAGTGTTATGACTATGACTGAATAATGGCATGTGGATGTGTTCAGGGCGGGACTCTTATTATACATGTCAAATTTGGTGCATGTACACTGAAGTTATTACATTGATAATAACCGCTTGAACAACTTTTGATCGTCAATGGGTTTAGACTGCACAGCGAGAATTCGATCGGACTAATTCCCTAGGAGGAAGTCCAAATTGTGTAAATGGCAGACTTCCTGATGGGTTTAGGCAATGGCTCCAAGAGGCTTTTTTTTTTTACATCTGGACATGACACACCTACCACAGAAATTTTGTACACGTAGTTGAAACTTTGTCTGGTGCCTGCTCAGTAGGGGGTGCATGCGAGCAATTTTGCAAACCCCATGCGCACAACCCATAAAGTTTTTTGCCCCGTTTGGCGTGTGTATAAAGCTTTGTGAGTTTTTGAGCATGTTTAGGCCCCCAAAATTGAGATTACTTTGCAGAAGAAAAAAAAATTCCTTAAGTTCCAATAGGGTCCTGGCATGTTTCATGCTCGGGCACAAAATATTTACAAATATGAGGGGCTTACTCACATTTGTGATATACTGTATAAGCACTGTATGATCTGATGATGACAGCAGGATGACATCAAGTGACCATCAACTTCAGGCCTATAATAATAATAATAATCATAAAGCGAAGTACAATTGCTATATATGTCAGAGGTCGCACGCCTCTGGAGCAACTAGGGGCTAAGTGTCTTGCTCAGGGACACATTGTGCACAGTGTGTCACATTGGACATGAACCCGGGTTTCTCACACCAAAGGCGTGCATTTTATCCATTGCGCCACCATCACCCCTAGGGCCTAGAGGAAAAGAAAGTTTTACCTGTCTTCCTTCTAGGCATCCCCACTCCACTTGTGATTCTCCTCTTTACAATCCTTGCTTGCAGATCAGCGATGTATGAGTAGGTTTTTTCAGATTTCAGGGCATATAACCTGTGTCTTCTGCTGTTTTTCTTGTACAGCCTTCTGAAACTGTAATTACATAAATTCCAACCATTCAATATCAGTTAGTCATTATAACAACTCATTACCTTGACTGCAAATGTAAGTAATAACGTTCATTCAATACATTGATGTAAATGGGAATATTTCAAGTGTAAAACTTACATCTCTTTGCCTTCTGCTGTTTTCATTGTTGGTCGGTTCTGGTGGAAGTTATAGTCCAGAGCAGCAAGCAGAACTCTTGCCTCATAAACTGGGGGACTGAAGGTGAAGCGCTTGCTGGCATACATCAGTATCTGATTCTGGAAAGCCTCTAGGTCTGCAGCTGATCTGATTGAAAAAAATATATATATTTAGAATTGGAAAATAAGCACAAATTATTATTTACATCTGTGTGAAACATGTAGCCACACTTTACCTGCAAAAGCGCAGGTATTTATGCACATCCTTCAGCCAGCGCTTATTGAGAACGATGTCCACTGAAGCTTTGTGGCAACTGGTGTCTTTCTGGATCCACAGCTTTCCATGTGTTTCTTCCAGGTGCCCATGTTGACACCTTCCGTTAGTCCAGGTGTGAATGTCACAGACATGGTGAGTGATGCCAACCCATAGTGCCTGTGGAAGACAGAATAGCACTATAAAAAGTCCAACATATTCAAATGAATGAACTTGAACTCAGAAGCGGAACAAAAACATACAGAATAAAATAGGACACTGATATTAAACCATATTCCATGGAGGGCTGAGAGTAAGCAGATTTTCACCAGATGATTTCAATGATTAACACACCTTCAGCCAGAGAGGAGGGGCCAAGCAGTGAAATCAACTTGTGTTGTCTTTGATTGGAATTAAAAATGTACAGACTCTCAGCCAGCAATGACACATAGTTAAATACCCCCGATGTCACTTTATGATGAAAACATACTGTAGACAATAACATGAGCCACTTATTCAACGTACAGCTGCTATTCTTTTGACCAGGTTCTTGGCACCATGCCACATGTCCAGACTGTGATGAATTCCAAGATCCTTGTATCTGCCTTCATATGGGTCTGTGAAGTGGGGAAGCAGTTATATTAATATTAATTAATATAATAATTATTAATATTTCAATCATCTTTCCAACTAGGATTGCTCGTTTCATCTAATTACAATTGCGATGCCTCCTTGTGTTATTGCATAACCGCAATAAGATGCAATTTATTTAAACAAAAAAGTGTTCTTTGTGTGTGTGACTCTCTAGTCTCTGTGTGCACTGTAGTCTGCTCATTTTGTCTGTGAAGGTTCTCTGTCATCCAGGTCATAGTTGTCCAACGAAGGTGGAGGTCAAGGGCATCTGGACTTTGTAGAATAAAAACTAGAAGACGTTTCGTCCCTCATCCAAGAGACTTCTTCAGTTCTGACTGACTGGTAGGGAAACTCAGCTATTTAACCTCTGTGGGATCGTTAGCTAGGATCGTTGATACCGCTGGTTCATTGGTGCTCCAGGCTGTGGTAACGACAGTCGTCATGGTCGTTAGAGCCACCCGTTGCCATGTCTCAACGACCATCGTTGGTATCTTCACCTGAGGGCAAGTGGAAAGGCTTGTTCAGTTTCCTGGGAAGTTGTTCAGCGCTGGCTTCTCAACCCGGGTGTAGATGGCTTCCTTGACACCTCTTTCAAACCATCCATCTTCTGTTTCTAAAATGTGCACCTGGTGGTCCCCAAACGAGTGTCCTCTGTCCTTCAGATGTAAGTAAACTGCTGAGTCTTGACCTGAGGAGTTAGCTCTTCTGTGTTGAGCCATGCATTTGTGTAGTGGTTGTTTAGTTCCCCCAGTGTACTGTTCAGTGCATTCCTCACTGCACTGGATCGCATACACTAGATTGGTTTTCTTGTGTTAGTGGGTGCGGTCTTTGGGGTGGACCAGTATCTGTCTTAGTGTGTTCTTGGGTTTAAAAAACACAGGGATGTTGTGTTTGTTGAAAATCCTCCTGGCCTTCTCTGATACTCCAGACACGTATGGAATCACAATGTTGGATGAGGGACAAAACGTCTTCTAGTTTTTATTCTACAAAGTTGTGACCATTTCACTCACATATATTATTATTTTGTTGTTTTTTAACGTGGTATTAAATTTGGTATAGAGAATCATGGAATATCACGGCTATCAGTACAGACTACTAAATTTCTGGTATCATGACATTCCTACAACTTACTCATAAGGGCTGTGATCTGGGCATTAGCATCTGTGCAGATCTCCTCATGCTTTATCTCTGATGTAAGCTTGTCTACAGTCTCGATAAAACCCTCCTTCTCCATGACGACAGAGTTGCAGGATGTCTGCTGCTTGTTGATGGTGGAAACATGAATGATCTCCTTGGTGTCATTCTCTGCTGAAAAAAAAAGTAATAAAACTAAAATCCAAAAATTATATAAATGAGTTAGCTGCTTACATACAGTCACACTGCCTAATGTCTTCAATACTTGTATAACAAGGTAAAGTTTCAGCTACGCACCTAGGACCACAACATCTTTCCCCTGAAGGCCACTGAGGGCCTCAGTCCTCCTCTCTTCCCAGAAGGCCTTCACTGTGTCCACACAGTAAGCGTCCTGAATGGACACGAAGGTGTTCTTCTTCACCATCCCCATGTTCATGAACTTGAACAAGAGGGCGACCTTCGCATAGTCGTTGCCAGACAACAAAATGTTAGTGGACAAGAGAAAATCTCCAGCTTGCGTCCCACACTTCATTACAGGCTGGGAATTCCACCTCCACAAGCTGTGTCCATTGGGACAGATCTGAAAGTCCAAGAAAAGGCAGGATTGCATTTGGCATGTACAGCACTGGCTTTCACTACAAATGTGTTTTAATGGGAATTTACAGTTATGATACGCTGCGACTGTCAGGACTTACCCATTCGACACTCGTTGCTGTGCCCTTGGAAGTGATGTTGATCTCAAAGGGAGCAACACAGTCACACACCACACCAGTCTTTAAAAGGCCTGTACATTTTTTCACAGGCAGGATCAGAAATGTAGCCAGCTGTCTCAAGCAGTCCTCATATACTATTGAAGCTCTGGCACCAACGATGTCATCTTCACAAAGGACCTGCTGTGGGGATGGGAAAACAGGGTCCTGATCACAGGGAGAAGCCTCATCAGGAGGGTCTTCACGTGCAGGCTGGTCATGCGCTGCCTCGCCCGTTCCAATAACTGGAAGTCGATCAATCGATGGTGCTTTCTTTAATGCTCCACCCATTCTGTTGAGGCCCAACATGAAGACATATGTGTAAAGATTTGAATAAAAGCTGGCATCACAGAACAATAGCAGAGACTGACTGATAACACACCGTATACAAGTGGGTGGAAGATCCTCTTCATCAGAGCTGTCATCTTTATCTCCATCATCTTTTTCATGAAAGGAAGGGGGGCCTTCATCTGTCCAATCAATTCTACAAAAAGGAGGACATATTCAGAAAACATTAAATTCTAGAGAGAGAACACTAAATAGTAATAAATTATGTCATAATGAAGCACAACTTACACACTGTTCAAGGGGTTATTGAAAACATTGTGCTTCTCATCCATGCTCATGTCCTGTAAACTGTAAAAATTAAAACATTAAAATATATAAATTATGAATATATACAAAAGAAGTTATGACAGTTGAACTGTTTCCTTTGTTCAAGGTCCATTTCTGTGGATTCTGCAGTGACATTCAGACGCTCATCTCTGAAAAGAAGAACCTGAACATGATACATCCCACATATGGAGATACAGCAGCTATACTGTATATATTATATTAATGACTTGCCTGTTCATCCTTCCAGAAGCACAGATGCTAGACACTGCTGCAGCTGTGAGTTGAACAGGTGTTTCCTTCATGGGAGTCGATGCTGCAGATCCTCTCTCATAGCTGGAGAAACAGCAGCAACATCAAGAGAATAAGTGCTACATGACACAGCTGCACACCCCTGTAATACATTCTGTTACGTCCTAAGGTGCTGGGAGGGTCGGCTCGCCTGGACAAACTCACCAAAATAAATCAGGAATAGCAACTATCAGGTCAACTACAAGCATGATCTCAGGCATGGATAGTGAACAAACTGGGAAATATATAAAAGTGTCTGCTTTACCAGAGTAAATCACATGGATGTACCAAACGGTTTCTTTATCTCTTTGAATATAATCAGAACACAAAGCACTACTTATATCCATTAATGGAGGCTGTGGGATGCAAAGCAACCTTTGGCCATGGCATGGACCTGTGCATCAGATTCCACCTATGTGCAATGACAAACAACAACATCGCTCCTTTTTGTAAACAAACAGAGCAAGTAAACAACATGTTTGACCTTTGATAGGCACTGCACAGCGTTTTGACTGAATAATCAGCATTAATAAATAAATCTTTCCCAGCAGGACTGTAAAATATGAAGTGTGGCTGTGTTAGCAGCTGGCTGACATGAGCTCCAAGGTTTCTGGTTAACGTTACACTTTGATTGGCAGTAATTTTCGGGTCTGTTGGGTCCAAATAACGAAGATAAATTGTAGGATTTGTCGCATGAAAGTAAAACTACAGTCCTGGTAGTAATTACTGAGTTGGTAAGTCTCCCTGTGGCCATGTTCCAGCTGAAGCTACCAAACAACACGTTGCGTTTAGATCGGGCTAAATTACCTGTGCAGCAGAAAACAGGCAACTTCGGCGTCACTCTGAAAACATTTGTCCCTCATCAGAGATTTCCATTTGGGGAAGGCCGCACCGATGTTGATCATTGTTTTCTGCCGTCGTCTGTCCACATTTAGTTTCACTTCTTCCTCTTTTCGCTCCGTCGCTTTTTCTTCTGCTAAATAACACGTACGATCCTCCATTTGTCAAAATGTTGGCTTCTCGGTTAGCCAGCAAACACTTCAAACTCATCTCATCTTCTTTCTTCTCCTCCGTCTGTTTTCTACCATCTGCACATGGATGCAGGGTCTGCAGGAGAGGAAGGTTCCGGTTTCCGCCTGTAGTCCGGGGAGTATTGACCAATCACGTTGCAGCGGGCTTTGGTTGCATGCAGGTAAACAGTCCGTGTGGAGCGCAAAAGAGGCGGAACGCATCGACTAAAATGTAAATCTGAACCCATCGGCTATCATCTGACGACCATTTAGCTTTTTATTGTTTTTTTAAAAATATATCTGTTACATATGCGGATGTCTGTTAATACAGATTAGCCGAAATGTCGTCTGGATGTCTCTGAAGTTGCTAGTCGGACTGTAAACAATGACCGGCGCACGAACCTCTGATTGGCTCAGCCTGACGATGGTGTTACAGAAAGGCCTCTTCTTATTTCTCTGTTTTGTTCCTCCTCTCATCTCTCCTCCGTCCTCCTGCCTGTGACCGTATTTCTCAATTTATCAGTTTGTTTTTTTAATTATTTTAGAGAACATATACATTAACAGTTTATACAGAAAACAGTGCATATCAGTGGTAAATATACAAAGTAAAGAAAAAATTAAATGCTTATAAACATATTTTCTTTGATGTCCACTCCGCTATTGAAGAATAAAATAAATAAACAGCCAAAGAATTATGCTGTGAAAGACTTAGCATGTAAACAATGATTGCATTTAGAAAAACTAACAACATAGAATTTTGAAAGTAACCACTGACAGTCAGTAAGAACACCACATTTTGTTAGCACTAAGTTCAAACAACAAACAACTCTGTAAATTCACAAACTATTACATATTAATTCAAATCAATAACTGGTGCATGAAGATGTACTCTGAGGACTGCCTCTTTACCACTATACTAATGAATACCTATCAATGCAGCTGTTCTTATCAAATGAAACAGGCACTTCACTCCTGGTTTCACTAGTAAACATAAACATAAACATCACAAGAATGACCAACATTACCAACAAAAAACACTATTTTCTAAGCCGACATATTTAACAAAAACATAATAAAGTAACATTTGTATTTCAAACAAATAGACTTTTTAACAAAACTTTCTTCACTGCTATGCGTTCCTATTCATGGGAATTTTGAGGGATGGACTTGGGCTGTGTTTGAAAAGTCTTTTTAGCGTAGTAAAGTTCCTAACTGAGCGAAGTGAACCGGACGTGTTTCAGTGGTAGCCATGATAAGAGCTGTTCGAATTCTCTAAAAGCTAAGGAAAGGTATAGCATAGGGTACACCTGACCATCCTTTACGAAAGGAAATAAGACAATGCCATCCCACAATTCCTTGCAGCGGCAACATTTAAAGCGGCGCAAAATCCATCAACCACATTTAGCAAGATCCTTGCAATACAGACGCACATTATGATAATTTAATAAATCTCACAATTACCTTCTTTCTTTTGGTTTGTCTTCTTGTGTTTACTCGATGAACATCATTTTATGTTGAAGAATACTTGAAACTAATGGAACTGGACTTCAAAAAGAAGTCCAGAGAGGGGCAGGGGCTGAGGGGGCATGGAGGTCCCTTGCCTCGCGGGAGAGGGGCAGGGGCCGAGGGGGCACGGAGGCCCCTTGCATGGGAAGCGCTTGCAAAGGATCTCTCACCATTTTTAACACCCGTCACATTTACAAGTAAAATTCTACTTGCTTGTGTTTTTCAGTACCATAACATGGATCTCGCAGAAAGGCCGGAGGGAGACAAAGACTCTCCCCCCCGCCCCAACCCTGCTACAGGGACAGACAGTTTGGGGTTCTCAAATGTTCCATGTGGTCAGTGTTTAAGAATTTATAGAGACAGGTCTTTGGTAGCTGATACTTTAGTCAGTCAGTATTATCTACACACTATGAAGCAGTTGTTAAGTACTAGTACATTTTTAATTCATCATTTATAAACCATTGTTCTTACATTAATACACATTAGTAAGTAATTTATAAACAGTTATACATGTTGTATTCTTTATTAATAAGCTCATATATAATGTACTTAATAATTGTATTTTCATACTTTATACATGATCGGTTCACTATTTATAAATTAAGTATTATTTTAATGACAAACCATTTCTAGTTGTCGAGTTGTTAATGGTTCAGTTTTAAAAAATTATTACATATCTGCTCCTTACCATAGACTGTAGCCCTATCTGATTTATTCTGTACTATATGTGCAGACTGGTTTTCGAGACCCTGGATTGTAGCTTAGAGGTCAACTCTTCGCTGGATGCAGATGGTGAGCCAGTCCCAGAGATGATGCACCCTGTATGATGAGATCGGACCGCAGTGTGGCCAGCTGCTTCAGATCCCATTCAACAGGACTGACACATCAGATTACAGGACACTGGCAGATAAGAAAGATCCTCCATATGTTCATTATCCTACCCAGGTAGAGATACAAATAACTGAAAGACACTGGACACTTTTTAAAATTGTATTTTCTATGAAAGAGCTCTCCTTATTCTGGGGATTGTTTCAAACATGGTTGGTGTACTATGAGAGTGTTAAAGGCGCTGTAATAAACCTGCCCACATAATCACACACAGTCTATTTCTTACCCCTACACTACTTCTCAGAACCTAGGTCGGTAAGTTAGCAGAAGTGCAACACTAGTGTTAAATATTCTACACCAGTCTTTAGCATTCAAAAACTACGCTACAGGGCTTTCCCCAGTACGTTGAACTATGACGCTAAGGGGCTCCAAAGTGTGTTATAAAGTGACGATAAGGGGTCTTGACCATTGGTCCATATGTGACGACTTGGGAGTGAGAACGGGTTGGGTTGTAGATGGTTCATTTTATATCAACAGTTGTAAAGTTTATGCAGCAATAGTCTCTTGTTGTTGTTGATATTCTGTATCACTTTGTGTTGTGTCCGTTTCCTTTTTCTGTTCAAAAGATAACTGAGTTACAATATCATTTTCATTTATCATTCAACTCACACAAAGTACTTACTAACAACTAGTAAATGCTTGGTAACTACCTGAATTAATCATGAACTACTTTAACAGATGTTTAGAGAATATCTATTCCTTTAAATTTAATTTGTAAATTGTTAATGAGGTATAGATAGTCCTCACTTCAGATGAGCTCACACAAAGTTCTTACTAACAACTAGTAAATGCTTTGTAATTACCTGAATTAATCATGAACTGCAGTATTAACAAATGTTCAGAGAAAATCTATTGCCTTTAAATTTAATTTGTAAATGATTAATGAGGCATACGGACAAAATACAATTATTAAGCACATTATAGAGCAGCGTATTAAGAATACAACATGTATAACTATGTTTATAAATGACTTACTAATGTGTATTAATGTATGAAAAATGTTTGATAAATGATGAATTATTTACTAATACTTAACTAATGCTTTATAGTGTGTAGTTATTATAAAGTGCTACCATTACAACAACAATAATTACAGATATACAAACTCTGTGGTCTGCTCCATTGTTAGTTTTTGCCGCTCCTACGAGGCGCAAGGGCTTATGGGTAATCTATCTTGTCAACTTCCTACGAACTGATGAACCGTTGTTCCCTTCTTTCCTACACAGTTCACAGTGCCCTTTGAAGTGAACATGCGCTCCGAATGGCCGAATACCCTGTGCAGTCCACTTAGCAGGGAACTACTGGGCGATCCGAACGCACCCTGTCATTCCATTTTCAGTTAGCAAGCTAAGTTCAGCAGACAGAGGCTCTGTTCGCAACCGAAGGCAGTTGCCTTGATACCGTAATAGACAGGTGCCTCAGAAGGTTTCACTTTCAAGTGAAGGCAGCTCTGTTTACATTAGTTTCAAACAGCCTTCTAGCGCAGCACTTACGGCAACGTGTGATGTCAGCACGCCGTCCTTGTGGCTCTTTTGGCTGTCAGAAGAGACGCTAGCCTTAACATCAGCTAACTAGCTAATGAAAAGCCAAACGGCTAACAGATGTCTCAGAAATCATACTGAACAAACTTGGTTGGTTACAGTCACGGGCTAATATCATAGTATAGTGTTTAGTTCTCGCTAGCTGTTCAAAAATCAAAGCAAGAAAACTACTAAAAACTTTGTGTACAAATTCGGCTTGTTTGTCCGCCATCTTGACCAGTTTTATGCTAACATGTAGGCCTACTGTGTGTATATCACAGCCTGATATATCTATAGAACTCCACTGTTAACTAAAAACTATTATACAACACATAAGTGTCACTGTTGCACTGGGTGACATATTCTTCATCATGAACACAACGCACTGTAGTTTATTTTGACTCAATCCCACAGAGAGAGATGGAATTTACAAAAAAAGTGCAATATAAATTAAGTGTATAATTAAAAGACATCTTGCACTCATAATCAAAGGTTTTCAATGTATTTATAATATTAAAGTTATTAAGAATTTCACAGAGCTCTCCTCTCTGAGTTTCCTGATGGATGAAAGTGAGAGCCTATTTTACAGGTTGACCTTGCTGGTGCAATAAGGGTCAGCAGTCACTATTCATGTTGCTAACTGCAGCAGGTCACTCTTTGGTGTCACAAAGCTGACAAATATGAAAGCTGCTTTCTCTGCAATTTTTGTTTCTGCCTTTTTAAAGGCTGTGATAACAAGATGAGCTTAACATGAAGTAAATGCAATATATACAAATTAAATAATTTGAGCTGATTATTATTGTACTGATTATTATAGTAAAATTAATAATAATTATAATAATAATAATAATAATAATAATTCTAGCAGTGAGGTTTGAGCAGGAAGATGGGAACAGCGGGCGGCTTGCAACCACAGATCCAAACTCCACAGCCAGAAACACCTGCAGAAAGCGACAAGATAGAGGGAAGGACTGAGAAAGCACAAAACTACAGGAGAGGATGAGTTAGTAGCACACATTAGAAAGAGGAGGAGAGAAGAGCTCAGTGCATCATGGGAGGACCCCTGGCAGTCTAGGGCTATAGCAGCATAACTAAGGTATGGTTCAGGGCTCAAATGAGCCAGCCCTAACTATAAGCTTTATCAAAGAGGAAAGTCTCAAGCCTCCTCCTAAATGTGGTGTGTGCATCCTAAACCCAAACTGGGACCTGGTTCAACAACAGAGGAGCTTGACAGCTGAAGGTTCTGACTTCTAGTTTTGGAGACTCTAGGAACCACAAGTACCCCTGCCTCCTGAATGTGTAGTGCTCTACTGGGGTAATAAGGTAGTATGAGCTCTTTAAAATAAAGGCTTTGTTTGTGAGTAAAAGGAATGTAAATTCTATTCTGGATTTAACAGGAAGCCAGTGCGGAGCTAAAACAGGAGAAATATATTTTTTCTCTTGTCCGAAACACCGAACAGTCTTGATCAAGCTCGGTAGCCTCAAGGCACTTATTGAGCCCGATAATAAGAAATGGTTGCAGTCCAGCCTAGAAGTAACATACTGTTGAAATAGGATGTGCCTTTGGAACAGAGTCAAATATGTGATTTTATAATTACACAATATTCTATGTAAATAGTTATCACCTGACATTTTAGATCTCCAGTGTCGATATATGAGGAGCATTTGTGATGAACGGGGTCTCCCACCTACTTCATGAAAGAGGTAAGCTGCATTATGGCCACAGAAAGTTTAGCATACAAGCTTAAACTTGTATAGTATGATAATACATTCCAATGTCATTTAACTTGTGTAGTGGCTGAAGTTGTAATATAACAACTGACCGAAGGTTTGTATATTTACGTCTGTTGTCAGCTATGTTTTCTGTAGTTTTATTTTGTTGATTTACCAAGCCCTTTTGTTCTACTTCATCGAAGAGGAACTGAAGTTGTAACATAACAGCTGACTGGAGGATTGTCTATTTACATTCATATTTAATTATGTTGTCAGAGAGAGAGAATAAACGGAGATCGCCTCCAAAGATATCCTGGTCTGAGCCTCCACTTCATAACACAACAGACGCTACACTAGAAACCACCAGTTACACCTGATTTTTGCAACATTATGTAGTAAAAAAAAAGGCTGTCCTTGAAGTTGGTTTTAGGTGGAAATAAAAAGGACTTGTCCTAATCAAAGATAACTCTGAGATTCCTCATGGGGGTGCTGGAGGCCAGGGTGATACCACTCAGAGTAACTTCTTTAGATAATGCATCTCTTCATGCTGTTTGGGGCCAAGTACAGTAACTTCAGTTTTATCTAAGTTTAACATTGGAAAATTGCAGGTCATCCAGGTGTTTACATCCTGAAGGCATTTTAAAGTTTAGCTAACAGATTGATTTCATCTGGCTTGATCGATAGATATAATTGGGTATCATCTGCATAACAATTAAATCCAAAGAAGGTTACACAGCCACAGCCATTAAGAAAAAAAAATTAAAAGAAACAGAAGCGGAACAGCTCAGACTAAAGGTATCTGCAGCCCTTTCTAATGCGAAAGGCTCTCATTTCCAACCTCACAATCCAAGAAAGGAAGGCTGTGACATCACTGAGCAAGGATAAAAACATCACTATCCTACCTGCTGACAAAGAAAGATGCGGTAGTCCTTAACACAGCGGATTACCAGAACAAGGTCAACACACTACTAATGGACACAAATACATATTAGAGACTGAGGAGAGATCCAACCAGCAGATATAAGAAAAAGGCTATAGAATGTCTACAACAGCTACAAAAAGAAAACACCATCACCCGTGACCGTATTACCATTTGCGTCCTGGAGAAGCCATTCCATGCATATATGGACTACCCAAGATACAAAAAAGGAGCCCCACTCAGGCTGATTATCAGCAGCATTAACTCGGTCACCTACAACATTGCAAAACACATTCCTACCATCTTACCTCCCTTGGTGGGAAACACGCCACACCACATCCAAAACTCCATTGACTTAGTAAACAAAGTTCGAGGACTGAGACTGGACCCAGATGAAACCATGGTATCCTGAGACATGACTTCTTTGTTCACCTGCATATCCACAATAGAAGCAGTAGAAACAGTAAAGAGACAGCTAACACAAGACCACACCCTGGACAATAGGACCAGCCTCAGCCCTGACCAGATCTGCAAATTACTTGACCTCTGTCTAAACACCACCTGTTTCCAGTACAACGGAGAATTCTACAGAGCATGGCTGTGTCCATTGGTTCACCGGTATCCCCGATTGTGGCAAACATCTACATGGAAGAAGTGGAGAATAAAGCCCTCAACTCCTTCAGAGGAATGGCACCGAGCCACTGGTACAGATATGTGGACGACACCTGGGTCAAAATTAAAAGCCAGGAAATACAAGCCTTCACAGAACACATCAACTCTGTGGACAGTAACATCAAGTTCACACAAGAAGATGTTCACAACAATAGTTTGGCCTTCCTGGACTGCGCTGTACACATTGAAGAGGACAGGAGCCTGCAGATTGGTGTTTACAGAAAACCCCCCACACACAGACCAATACCTACTCTTCGATTCACAACACCCCCTGGAGCACAAGCTAGGGGTCATGAGAACACTGCACCACAGAGCGGAAAACATGCCAACAAGTGCCCAAGCCAGAGAGAAGGAACAGAACCACCTGAAGGGGGCACTTACAGCCTGTGGATACCCTAAATGGACCTTTGTGAAAACAGCCACAAGATCCAGGAAGAACAAAACTACAGGGGATGAGGAAAAGAAGATCAAACGCAACAACATTGTGATTCCATGCCTGTCTGGAGAAACTCAGGAGGATTTTCAACAAACACAACATCCCTGTGTTTTTTAAATCCAAAAACACGCTAAGACAGATGCTGGTACACCCCAAAGACCGCACCCCCAAGCACAAGAAAAGCAATCTAGTGTATGCGGTCCAGTGCAGTGAGGTATGCACAGACCTGTATATTGGGGAGACTGATCAACCACTACACAAACGCATGGCTCAACACAGAAGGGCCAACTCCTCAGGTCAAGACTTTGCAGTTTACTTACATCTGAAGGACAGAGGACACTCGTTTGAGGACCACCATGTGCACATTTTAGACAGAGAAGATGGATGGTTTGAAAGTGGGGGGTCAAGCCATCTACACCCGGGTTGAGAAGCCGTCGTTGAACAGAGGAGGGGGTCTACGCCACCACTTATCCCCCACTTACAATGCAGTCCTTTGATCACTTCCCAGGAAACTCAACCAACGCAACCTATTGGCCTCAGGTGAAGATGCCAACGATGGTCGTTCAGTCTTGGCCTTGGGTAGACCTAACGACCATAACGACTGTCGTTACAACAGCCAGGAACACTAACGAACCAGCAGTATCGATGACCCTGGCAAACGACCCCACTGAGGTTAAATAGTTTAATTTCCCTACCAGCCAGTCAGAACTGAAGAAGCCCTTTGGAAGAGGGACGAAACGTCTTCTAGTATCTTCAACCAAGTCCAGTTGCCCTTGACTTTAACCTTCTTTGGATAACTATGACCTGGAAGACTTCACAGACATAACAATGAAAGTTTATGGAGTATTTCCTGATAATTATTCCAAAGGAAGCATATATACGGTAAATAGGATTGGTCCAAGCACAGAACCTTTGGAGTGTGTTGTGTATTTTTGTTATAACATATATGCTAGTTTCAGCAGCACAGAAGCACTAATCATGGCAGCACAAGAACAGGCACTCAGTACAAGATCAATAGAGGCGGGGGTCTACCAGACAGGAGTCTACCAGACAGGACCCCAGGTGCAGACTGTGCAAGGATGCCCCTGAGACAGTACAGCACATAACAGCAGGGTGAAAGATGCAGGCAGGAAGTGTGTACATGGAACGCCATAACCAGGTAGCTGGCATAGTGTACAGGAACATCTGCCATGAGTACGGGCTGGAAGTCCCAAGGTGAAAATGGAAGACACCTCCTAAGGTAGCTGAGAATGGCCGAGCTAAGATCCTGTGGGACTTCAAGATCCAGACTGACAAACTGGTGATGGCTAACCAACCAGACATTGTGTTGATCAACAAACAGCAGAAGAAGGCTGCGGTGATACATGTGGCAATCCCAAGCGACAGCAACAAGCTTGAGAAATACCAATGGCTGAAAGAGCAGCTAGAAAAGATGAGGGAAGAGCAACAGTGGTGCCAGTAGTTATTGGAGCACTCGGGGCTGTGAACCCCAAACTGGGAGAGTGGCTACAGCAGATTCCAGGTAAAACATCAGAGGTCTCTGTCCAGAAGAGTGCAGTCCTACGAACAGCTAAGATACTGCGCAGAACCCTCAAACTCCCAGGCCTCTGGTGGAGGACCCGAGCTTGAGGATGACACATACCACCCCGCAAGGGGTGAGAGGGGATATACACACTATACTACTATAATTTGCAATTCACTATATATTCAATATTCTTTATTCTCTATAATCTTTTAACTGTGCAAGTATTTGTTCACATGCTTTTAGTGACCATAAAGTGCTTGTATTGACCTTGACCCTGCTTGTATTGAAGTTTCTGTGTTTGTCTTAGTTGTGGAGTCTATTAAATTGTTGATTGTTGTTCGTTGTGGTTTTTCCTTTAATTGTAATGTCTTTGATTGGTCTCTTGCCATAGAATTGCCTCCTCAAACATGACAAAATTACGATGTCTATGAAGATTCTCAGACATCCAGGTCATAGTTATCCAACAAAGGTTAAAGTCAAGGGCAACTGGACTTGGTTGAAGATACTGGAAGACGTTTCGTCCCTCATCCAAAGGACTTCTTCAGTTCTGACTGTCTGGCAGGGAAACTCAGCTATTTAACCTCAGTGGGGTCGTTTGCCCGGGTCATCGATACTGCTGGTTCGTTAGTGTTCCTGGTTGCTGTAACGACAGTCGTTACAGTCGTTAGGACTACGGGTGGCCAAGAAGAGGTGGCCTTCGTTGGATGACAAAATTACATATATTTCATTCGCTGAACCCCCCAAATGTGGCAGTTACCACACAAAGTATAAAAAGCAGAACCTTGCCCAGAGAATTGTTATCCATGCTAACTAAAAACCTGAAAAATATTGTATTACCAAAGTTTTAGTAACAAACCAAGAAAGACAAACACACATTGATAAAATCACAGTTTCTGTTTAAAAAGGTCAAAATCAGAGTCAGAAAGTGCAATTTAAAGGTGTCCCCTTCCACGTAGTACACTGCTATGCACTCCAGTGTTTGAGATGACTGGATCCCTTAGGTTGAATATATTGATTAGATTTTAAACAAAATCCGTAATTTCAAGACAAATCTTTACCCTGACGTGCAGTGTCTTTGGTTTCTTTTGTGTTTCCCTCATCACAGACCTACAGTATGCTACCACTGATGTTACTATCATAAAGATTATCAGATGTTTGGAATACATTTGATACCTTCCCTCTCCTTTACAAACAACTTTGGTAAAGGGAACATTTGGAAAAACTTTGTTTTAACCAGAATAGTTTTTATATATATTTTATAATATACAGAAGAGAAAGACTAAATCCAAGAAAAAAAAACTAAAAGACAATGCAAACTGCTGTGGTTCTTAGCAATGTGCTTAGCGAACAATTTCTATCCAGTGTGGACTCGCATGTGTTTCTTCCGATATCCCTGGTCTATAAATCTTTTCCCACAAATCTCACAGATAAATGGTTTCTCTCCTGTGTGGACTCTGATGTGTATCTTAAGATAACTTTGTTCTGTAAATTTATTCCCACAAATATCACAGCCAAATGGTTTCTCTCCTGTGTGGACACTCATGTGTTTCTTAAGATGTATGTGCTGGTTAAATCTCTTCCCACAAACATCACAGCAAAATGGTTTCTCTCCTGTGTGAAGTCTCATGTGTATTTTCAGATGTCCCTGTTCTGTAAATTTCCTCCCACAAACATCACAGCCAAATGGTCTCTCTCCTGTGTGCACTCTCATGTGTTTATTAAGATGTGGCTGCTGGATAAATCTTTTACCACAGACATCACAGCCAAATGGTTTCTCTCCTGTGTGCATTCTCATGTGTTTCTTAAGAGTTTCCTTTTGTGAAAATCTCATCCCACAAACATCACAGCCAAATGGTTTCTCTCCTGTGTGAACTCTCATGTGTCTCTTAAGACTTCCCTGGATATTAAATCTCATCCCACAAACATCACAGCCAAATAGTTTCTCTCCTGTATGAACTCTCATGTGTTCCTTAAGATGCACCTGCTGGTTAAACCTTTTACTACAAACATCACAACCAAATCTTTTCTCCCCTGTGTGGACACTGATGTGTCTAATAAGATCTGTCTGCTGGATAAATCTTTTACCACAAACATCACAGCCAAATGGTTTCTCTCCTGTGTGGACTCTCATCTGTGAATCTACATTTTCCTTCACTCTGAAACATTTCTTATTAACCAGACGACTGGAGGACCTTTTTCCTGAATGACACACCATGTGTCTCTGAAGAGACCCCTTATAGTGATATTGTTTACCACATTCAGGGCAACTAAAAGATTCTTTCCCAGCATTACATCCTGCATCACTTACAGGAGCTTCCTTATATTTCAGAGCATTTACACCTGACTCAGGTGCTCTGGTCTTCTTCCAACCATTGTCACCGTCTTCACTTTCAGCTTCAGAATCTGACAAAGGTTCTTGCCAGTCATTTTCACTGACTTCAGTGTCTGAAGCTTTTTCATCAGTATCTGGTTGTAAATGACTATCTGGATCAAGGTTCCCAGCAGGTTCTGATCCTCCATCAGTTTCTGTTTTTATCTGCGTAGCTGAGCTGCTGGCTGAAGGCTCTGCCTCTCTGTTGTCCTCAGTTTGGCTTCGATGAAGCTGTGGAGACTGAGGTTTCTCTTCCTCATCTTCACTCTTCACAGTAACAGCAGTGAATGGGAACCTGGTGATATCAGCCTCCTCCAGTCCATTAAGCTGCTCTCCCTCCTGACTGATCCAGAGTTCCTCCTGTTCTTCTTTTATGTGTAGGGGCTCTGGATCCTTCTGGTCCAGACTGGGGCTCCACTCAGAGGGAACCTCTTCTTTAATCACCAACAGCTGCTGGACATCTGCAGGCAACACTGAAACACACAGCAACATTTTTGGCAGCCATTTTCTAGGGAACAAATAAAAAATAGAAAATAAATACAAACTAATCTATAATGGAAGATGGAGTTCCCTTAACGAATATTAGGATACAGTTCAAGAACATGTGTAACCACAGTTATGGTGCACACCATCTATGGCATATAGTGAGTAGTCAGGTAGTCTTCGGAAGTCTTTTACAGCAATTTCCTCAACAAGTCTTCCAAATTAAATGATCAACTTCATCAATTTTAACGCCCCCCCAGAACGACACATATAAGCTCTGTCTGATCTGATCTGATGATGACAGCAGAATGACATGAAGTCACCATCAACTTCAGTTCTGGAGGAAAATAAAGTCTTACCCGTCTTCCTTCTAGGCATCCCCACACCACTTCTGATTCTCCTCTTTACAATCCTTGCTTGCAGATCAGAGATGTTTGTGTAGGTTTTTTCAGATTTCAGGGCGTATAACCTGTGTCTTCTGCTGTTTATGTTGTACACCCTTCTGAAACTGTATTTACACAAATTTCAACCATTCATAAATAATCACTTGCACATAATACATCGATTGAAAATGGGAAAATGAATATAAGTGTAAAACGTACATCTCTTTGCCTTCTGCTGTTTTTAATGTTGGTCGGTTCTGGTGGAAGTTATAGTCCAGAGCAGCAAGCAGAACTCTTGCCTCATAAACTGGGGAAGTGAAAGTGAAGTGCTTGCTGGCATACATCAATATATGATTCTGGAAAGCCTCTAGGTCTGCAGCTGATCTGATTGAACAAAAAAAAAAATACAGAACTGAAAAATAAGCACAAACAGTCATTATTTACATCTGTGTGAAACATGTAGCCACACTTTACCTGAAGCGCAGGTATTTATGCACATCCTTCAGCCAACGCTTATTGAGAATTATGTCCACTAAAGCTTTGTGGCACCTGGAGTCTTTCTGGATCCACGGCTTTCCACGTGTTTCTTCCAGGTGCCCATGCTGACACCTTCCATTAGTCCAGGTGTGAACATCACAGATATGGTGAATGATGTCAATCCGATGTGCCTGCGAAAAAAACAGCACTATAAAAAAATTAAAAGCCTTCACGTTGAAATGATTAACTTAAGATAAACATACATATAAATGGTAGGCTTAAAAAACTGCTTGGTTGTGTCAGCTTTCTTGCAACAACACCAAAAATGCTTTATGATGTCTTTCAGCCAAACAAGGAGAACAACCTGTCTATTATCTTTGCTGCCTCCAGCAGCGAAACAAAGCATACATAATGAAATAGGACATGGTTATTCAACCATATTCCATGGAGCACTGAGAGTAAACGGATTTTCATCCTAACACCAGATGATTTCAATGATTAACACACCTTCAAGCAGAGAGGAGGGGCCAAGCAGTGAAATCAACTTCTGTTGTCTTTGATTGGAATAAAAACGTACAGACTCTCAGCCAGCAATGGCACATAGTTAAATATCCCTGATGTCATTTTATGATGAAAACATACTGTAGACAATAACATGAGCCACTTATTCAACGTACAGCTGCTATTCTTTTGACCAGGTTCTTGGCACCATGCCACATGTCCAGACTGTGATGAATTCCAAGATCCTTGTATCTGCCTTCATCTGGGTCTGTGAAGAGGAGAAGCATTTATATTACAACAATATTTCCATCATCTTCTCAATTAGGGCTGCTCGATTAATATAATCACAATTATGATGTCACCCTGTGTGATTGTATACCCACAAAAGGATAGGGGCGGTGGGAAAGAAATCGATTCCTAGATGCATCGCGATGCAGACATGGACGATTATGAATCGATTCACAAATATCAGAAATTGAGTTTTGAAAGGTAATGTTAACAGAACAAAAAAAGATGGGGCTCGGGAGTCCGGAAGTGCAGCCCCCAGACAGTCTGTGTCAAGCACATGACAGAGACAAGATGGCTGAGAGGGAAGCATAGCTAGCATATGGAGACACTTTGGCTTCTATGAAGTTGAAGGGGAAAATGACTTGGACAAAAGCCACACAATATGCAAGTTGTGTCAAAATAAAATAAAAATATTTTGTAAACATGACAAACAAAATAAACAATTTCACACGTTTTATAGTTGCTGCCAACCAGAGGACCATAGAGCAAGTGTCATGTCATGTCAAAGCTTCCGCACAATTCAGAAAGGGCGAAGCGAATTATAAACTACCGCAACTTTCATTGCCATGTTGGAGGCACGTTGGAGTCAAGATACAACGTCCCATCTCAAAGATATTCTACTGAAACAGCAATGCCCACACTCTACAACGAGACCAAAACCAAAGTCATGGTATCACTGAACAAAGCGGGTATGATGGGTTTAACGTGACGCGTGGACATCCAGAATCTTACAGCTAGTGTCTCACGTAGGGCTGCAGCTAACAATGATTTTAGTATTCGAAGCTTCTATAGATTATTTCAACGATTCATCGATGCATCGTTTAAGAAGTACTCTTGCTTGATGGCGGCAGCGGGCCCCAGTAACGGGATCAGCTGTGCATGTTTATAGGTGATAGATATTTATTGGTCCTTTTGGAAATTCATAGTGTGTCAGACACCAAATATCAGACCAACAACATCAACAGACCATCAACCAGATAGCTATCTATGACCGGTGTTGCATCCCTACTGGTGTTCAAACTAACTGGCTGCTGTACACGTGCGCCTGTTGTTTGCAACAGCTGTGGTCTGCGTCGGGCTTCATTCTACCAAAGAGAATGATCACCAACCGTCCGCAGCGTACCATGTCGCTCCCGCGACCCCTTCTCCTTCGCCCTGTACACTCCAGTGCCCCACTCCCTAACCGGTAGACCCAATATTCGTTGTGTTGCCAGTGGAACGGGCGCACTGGACAGTCAGTGGTTGTTCTCGGAGTTCGGAGTAAACTACTTTTATTAAATAAGCTTTTTACTTTAGTTTATAGGATTACGTTGATTTATCTTCACTCGAGTTTCTCAGCAGCTAGTTTCCGTGCACATCCGGTTCCAGTGTTGTTAGCGTCGTTTGGCACTACTTCATATTTATATAAAAACCAGGACAAAACTGGACATTGCTGGGAGAAAAGAAAGTGAGGAGGTTGAACTACCTGGTGAGTTAAGAAAACATGTGTCTGTAACTTTTGTCCAGCTATTGTTGTACTTTACTGTGGCCTCCATTCAGAAAACAAACATTTTAGAAGTTGTTGTCCTGCTGTCCTGCTGACAGACCTGACAAAGCATGAATTCATATGTTTAACAAAACTGCATCATATTGTAGTTATTTCAGCATCAGTTTGATCCGTTTATTGCTATTTAATCACAGCAAAATGTTTACTTTGGGTTCATACAGCTGTAGTAATGGCAAGTTGTGTTTATTCACCTTCTCGCGTTGTGTGTGAACACTTGCAGCGAATGTACTCACACGAGGAAAGCGTTGCGAGACCAAAATTCGCGTTTGGTTTGGATGCATAACAGTTCATGTTTGCTGTATGCCATTGGATGTACTCACAACTATCACTGAATTAATTTGATACTGAAAAAATATTAAAAACCGGAGGATTCTTAGGCAAATGAGGCGTTTCTGTTCCTGTCCCAGTTGCTAGTGAGTCACAAACTGAACGGTGAGCCTCCTGTTCTTCTAACTAAAAACCCACCTATGTTGATGTTGAAGCTCATCTTAATCACATTTAATCAGGCACCACCCTCGCCCAAGTGTATCTGCTGCAGGTTTATTAAGTGTAACACACAAAGCTACACTAATCGGACACATTAAATATTAAAATCAATATTTTTCCATTTTGTTTTTAAAACAAAAGCGACTTGGTTTTGAAATGAAATGATGAAAGAATGAATCACACACGGATTCAGCTGCTTTACAAACACAAACATCACCGAGTGCTGTACAAGTTATACTAAAGGCTCGTGCAGTGCCGACTACACCACTTTCAGCGCCGGTTGATGGCCGTGCTGTTCAGACTACACAACTTGCCGTCTTGTGACGGGAGTCTTGAAGGCATTGTGGCGTTCAGGGGGTCACACTACACGAGCTGACTGTGTCATCCGACGCAGGTCTCCAAACCACCTTTTGTCAAGAAAACACAAATGAAAAGTGAAACGGGAAATGAGCGATCCTGCACACGAAACAGCTGTTTGTTATTATAAAGATAGCAATTTTAAAGACAAAGAAAATGGGTGAAAGAACGGATTCGCACACGCAGGTAGCAGGGATCCACCCAGTTAATTCATGACTGTGAGGTTACAACTCGCGGCCCAAAAAGGAGAACAACAAACGCACGTGTGCACATTTTCAGCTGAGGACTGCAGCTTCCTTTGGCTTCAACTCAACAATCAATCATGATTTCAGTTAAATGCTAAAGTTGCTGTTACCTTGTCTGTGGTCCGCTGGCAGAACATCGGCTGCTTTCTGATCAGGTGCCGTCATGCTGTTGCCGAGGTGACATAAGTCTCGTTTTTACGGCGGACGGACTGTGACATTACAGAGTTGTTGTTTCTTTAGCTTGAAATAATCCCAGACTTTGGACACTTTCTTCTTTGTCCCTCGCTATTTTCTCTCTTCCTCCACTTTGCAAACAGCGCTATCCAAATCACGTTGTGTTCACACAGCGTAAGCGCGATGTGCGACAGTAATAAATGTCAAAACAGTGTGCTATATAGTTATATATAGATTAAACAAAGAATTTGTGTCGATGCATTTTAGTAACCGATTTAATCGAATTCTTTCAGCCCCAGTGTCATGCTCCAAAAAAGAGCAGTGAATTAAAGCAGGTGCAAACATGAATGAACTGTTAAAGAATGAAAAGAAGAACCATTTAATTTCAGTTGATAACACTCCCAATATGGTTGTTGCTACCGTACCGGGTTAATTCCTACATGTGAAATGCTATGCCCACACACTATACCTGGTCTTTCAGCGAGCGCTCAAGTTGCCCACTGTGTCAGCGCTACTAGGGAGAGTGAGACATATTACTACATTTTTTCACAGCAGCACCACTGCAAAACACCAGCTTCAAGAGAAACAGAAGCTTCTTGGTTGGCCGAGACACAAGCTGAAAACTTTGTGGCATATTTTGTATTTTTTGACGGAGAGCTGCTTTCTGTGTTGTTTAGCTTTAACATCATGTTGTAAAAAGACCTGGAAGTCTTAAATGTTTTAATCTACAGAAACACAAGTTGCTATATAGTGCATTCTAAGCTACTTTTGTTTAAACCACTATTGGCCGCCCTTTCAATGCTTAAAGAAACACTATAAAGTTTTTTAAGGTTTAATATGCGTTAAGAAACACATGAGGGAGTCTCTTCAAATTACTTTGCCTTCCTAAGTGCCTCTGAAGTAGTAGATAAGGTTTTGGAGTCGACGTGGGGGCGTATACACTGACCGGTGACCACGCAGTAAACGGTGTGAACAGCATGTGAGAAACAGTGGGGAGAAGGTGAATTCACATGGAAAACATGAAAGGGAGGTAAGCAAGTTCACGTAAAGGGAAAGCACCTGAAAGTCTGCCAACGGCTGTGCACCTACTGAACACTAGTTTAAGCTGGTCACAGTCAGAAATTTCCAGAGGATCCCTAAGAAAAACGTACATTTTAAGCAATAAGTAATTAATTTACCATCATTCTGTAATCAGAAAATGTTTTTTTAAAAATGTAGATGCTGATCCCATAGTGGCAATTTTATTAGTATTTGTTTTTGTCACATATGGACAAAGTACAACTGGAGTGAGGTTATTCACACATCTTAAAATCAATTTGATTAAAAAAAAGTTGATAAAACCATCATAAGGAAGCAAATTGTACTTTTCTGGAATTATACAATGGTGCCATTTCATTTGTTTTTGTTTTCAGTGCTTGTTCATATAGTGATTTGGTTGACACTTGACTGGCTCCATACAGTAACACATTAAGAATGATGTGAAATTATCAAGAATGCATAAACAGTTGAGGTTTGTAATGTTCAAAATCATTCAAAAACAGTTCACATTTGTCTTGTATATATATGTATGTCCTGTCTTTATAGTTATTTTATTTGGTAAAATATAAAGACATTTTAAAAACATTATTGTACAATCTATCGTATCTAACTCTGTCTGTTCGAGTTGAGAAATACACAGATCATTTTCCTTGATAATCAAGTAAGTAGGACTCATAAAACTTGTTACCATCATATCACAATAGGAGTTTTTCTCCAAATCGTACAGCCCTATTTTCAACACATGTATTTGTACATTATATCAGATGAGTACTTACTCATAAGGGCTGTGATCTGGGCATTAGCATCTGTGCAGTTCTCCTCTTGCTTTATCTCTGATGTAAGCCTGTCTACAGTCTCGATAAAACCCTCCTTCTCCATGACGACAGAGTTGCTGTTGATGGTGGCAACATGAATGATCTCCTTGGTGTCATTCTCCATGGCGGCGTAGCTGCAGTAATGTGCACGATGGCCTGGAGAGTCATTTCTGCCATCTGCTGAAAACAAAAGTCATATATATAAATGAGTTAGCTGCTTACATACAGTCACACTGCCTAATGTCTTCAATACTTGCATAACAAGGTAAAGTTTCAGCTACGCACCTAGGACCACAACATCTTTCCCCTGAAGGCCACTGAGGGCCTCAGTCCTCCTCTCTTCCCAGAAGCTCTTCACTGTGTCCACACAGTAAGCGTCCTGAATGGACACAAAGGTGTTCTTCTTCACCATCCCCATGTTCATGAACTTGAACAAGAGGGCGACCTTCGCATAGTCGTTGCCAGACAACAAAATGTTGGTGGACAAGAGAAAATCTCCAGCTTGCGTCCCACACTTCATTACAGGCTGGGAATTCCACCTCCACAAGCTGTGTCCATTGGGACAGATCTGAAAGTCCAAGAAAAGGCAGGATTGCATTTGGCATGTACAGCACTGGCTTTCACTACAAATGTCTTTTAATGGGAATTTACAGTTATGATACGCTGCGACTGTCAGGACTTACCCATTCGACACTCGTTGCTGTGCCCTTGGAAGTGATGTTGATCTCAAAGGGGGCAACACAGTCACACACCACACCAGTCTTTAAAAGGCCTGTACATTTTTTCACAGGCAGGATCAGAAATGTAGCCAGCTGTCTCAAGCAGTCCTCGTATACTATTGAAGCTCTGGCACCAACGATGTCATCTTCACAAAGGACCTGCTGTGGGGATGGGAAAACAGGGTCCTGATCACAGGGAGAAGCCTCATCAGGAGGGTCTTCACGTGCAGGCTGGTCATGCGCTGCCTCGCCCGTTCCAATAACTGGAAGTCGATCGATCGATGGTGCTTTCTTTAATGCTCCACCCATTCTGTTGAGGCCCAACATGAAGACATATGTGTAAAGATTTGAATAAAAGCTGGCATCACAGAACAACAGCAGAGTAAAGACTGACTGATAACACACCGTATACAAATGGGTGGAAGATCCTCTTCATCAGAGCTGTCATCTTTATCTCCATCATCTTTTTCATGAAAGTAAGAGGAGCCTTCATCTGTCCAATCAATTCTGTAAAAGGAGGACATATTCAGAAAACGATAACTTATAGAGAGAGAACACTAAATAGTAATAAATTATGTCATTATGAAGCACAACTTATGGCCCTTTTCCACCGTATTGTCCCAGCTCGACCCTACTTTTTTGGTTTACCATTGGGGAGTTGTACTTTTTTTTCGTATCACCTCCGCTGAGGTTCCAAACCAGCTGAGGCGATACCAAGTATCAGGTGGCGTTAAAACACTGTAGACCACCGATTGGTCAGGTAGAATCGTGACTGTTCACTGCATCATCATTACACGCACCAGACGAGGGCCAGTGTTTCATATTTTGAACACCATTTCATCACTAAATCCAATTCTGATCAATTTTAATGTGTGACTGCATAGATTTCGGATTTTGGCAGTTTTACGCTCACAGAGCCCCCAATCCCACAGTCACACAGACCATGACCAGCAGCAACGGTAGATCAAAATGCCAGTTGAATCGAGCTGAGCTGGTAGCAGCAATGGAAAAGCACCATTACACACTGTTCAAGGGGTTACTGAAAACATTGAGCTTCTCATCCATGCTCATGTCCTGTAAGCTGTAGAAATAAAAGCATTGAAATATATAAATTATAAATATATACAAAACATAGTACATGTAGTACAAAGACATTATGACAGTTGAACTGTTTCCTTTGTTCAAGGTCCATTTCTGTGGATTCTACAATGACATTAAGACGCTCATCTCTGAAAAGAAGAACCAGAGCATGATACATCCCACATATGGAGATACAGCAGCTATACTGTATATATTATATTAATGACTTGCCTGTTCATCATTCCAGAAGCACCGATGCTAGACACTGCTGCAGCTGTGAGATGAACAGGTGTTTCCTTCATGGGAGTCGATGCTGCAGAACCTCTCTCATAGCTGGAGAAACAGCAGCAACATCAAGAGAATAAGTGCTACATGACACAGCTGCACACCCCTGTAATACATTCTGTTACGTCCTAAGGTGCTGGGAGGGTCGGCTCGCCTGGACAAACTCACCAAAATAAATCAGGAATAGCAACTATCAGGTCAACTACAAGCATGATCTCAGGCATGGATAGTGAACAAACTGGGAAATACATAAAAGTGTCTGAAACATTGTGAATGCTGCTTTACCAGAGTAAATCACATGGATGTACCAAACAGTTTCTTTATCTCTTTGAATATAATCTGAACACAAAGCACTACTTATATCCATTAATGGAGGCTGTGTGCTCACAATGCAACCTTTGCCAATGGCTCTGAGCCTGTGCATCATCAGATTCCACCCATGTGCAGAAAAAGCAATGACAAACAACAACATCGCTCCTTTTTGTAAACAAACAGAGCAAGTAAACAACATGTTTGACCTTTGATAGGCACTGCACAGCGTTTTGACTGAATAATCAGCATTAATAAATAAATCTTTCCCAGCAGGACTGTAAAATATGAAGTGTGGCTGTGTTAGCAGCTGGCTGACATGAGCTCCAAGGTTTCTGGTTAACGTTACACTTTGATTGGCAGTAATTTTCGGGTCTGTTGGGTCCAAATAACGAAGATAAATTGTAGGATTTGTCGCATGAAAGTAAAACTACAGTCCTGGTAGTAATTACTGAGTTGGTAAGTCTCCCTGTGGCCATGTTCCAGCTGAAGCTACCAAACAACACGTTGCGTTTAGATCGGGCTAAATTACCTGTGCAGCAGAAAACAGGCAACTTCGGCGTCACTCTGAAAACATTTGTCCCTCATCAGAGATTTCCATTTGGGGAAGGCCGCACCGATGTTGATCATTGTTTTCTGCCGTCGTCTGTCCACATTTAGTTTCACTTCTTCCTCTTTTCGCTCCGTCGCTTTTTCTTCTGCTAAATAACACGTACGATCCTCCATTTGTCAAAATGTTGGCTTCTCGGTTAGCCAGCAAACACTTCAAACTCATCTCATCTTCTTTCTTCTCCTCCGTCTGTTTTCTACCATCTGCACATGGATGCAGGGTCTGCAGGAGAGGAAGGTTCCGGTTTCCGCCTGTAGTCCGGGGAGTATTGACCAATCACGTTGCAGCGGGCTTTGGTTGCATGCAGGTAAACAGTCCGTGTGGAGCGCAAAAGAGGCGGAACGCATCGACCGAAATGTGATCTCTCCTCTGATCTCTCCTCCGTCCTCCTACCTGTGACTGAAGTAATTTCCTCTGTATTAGATTGTTTGTTTATAAAGTTTTCTGCCAATTAATTTCTGAAACCCAGCAGAATCTTCCTGGAGACAGACTTACAACTTGTATTAATTTTGTAATTAATTCAAACTTTTATTACTACTATAAAGTGGTTTGATCATTGAGACCTCGACTGCTGAACCTATAAGTTGTAGCACACCCCTCGGCACAGCATCAAATACCAATGCACAGGTATTGTTTTGGCGTAACTGGTAACCTGAATTCAACATTTTTAAGTTTGTACTTCCTCAACGTCTTAAAGTAATCCCTCCCACAAGATGCCAGCAGAGGAGTCAAAGAAGAGATATGAGGAGAGAGGAGTGGCGGCAACAGGCATTTAAACTAGAAAAGATATCACTTAAATGTGTGACAGAGCGTAATAATTTGAAAATAGTAGCTGTCTGCACTCATCATGTGACAGGCAGGAATCTCTAAAACTGTAAAAAGTGAAGCCAAAGCCGAATAGCCTCAAACCTGCATTCTTTATAAAGACCAGCAGGGGGCGACTGCACTGGTTGTAAAAAGAAGTCTGTTTCTGTTGTAATCAATGACAAAATGGGGATGGGCAGGAAGCAGCATGTGAATATGGGAAAACATGTCTCTAATTCCAGGACTCCTCCCTGTTCACCAACAGCTGCACCTCCAGTCACCAGTCCGTGAAGCTCCTGAAGTTTGCGGATGACACCACCCTCATTGGGCTCATCTCTGGTGGGGAGTCCACTTACAGGTGGGAGATTGACCATCTGGTGTCCTGGTGCAGCCACAACCACCTGGAGCTCAACGCTCTGAAGACAGTGGAGATGGGAGTGGATTTTAGAAAGAGCCCAGCCCCACCCTCCCCCATCATCCTGTGTGACTCCCCAGTCGCCACTGTAGACTCCTTCCACTTCCTGGGCATGTGGGAGCTAAATATCACCTCCCTCACCAAGAAGGCCCAGCAGAGGATGTACTCCCAGCGGCAGTTGAAGAAGCTCAGCCTGCCAAAGTACAGTATAAGATGGTGCACTTCTTTACTGCCATCATTGAGTCCATCCTCACCTCCTCCATCCCCACAGCCAGGGACAAGGGCAGGCTGCAGCGAAGGCTCTGCAGAGAAGGTGATTGGCTGATATCTTCCCTCACTTCAGGACCTGTACGCCTCCAGGACGCTGAGGCAAGTAGGAAAGATTGCAGCTGACTCCTCCCACACTGGACACAAACTGTTTCAGACTCTCCCCTCTCAAAAACAGCTTCTTCCCTTCTGCATCTAGCCTCATTAACCAGGCCCGGGCCCCCCACTGACACTCCCCCCTGACCCTTCAAATAATACAAATGTTTCTGCACGTGTAAATGTTATTTCATTTATTTCATATCATACACAAACCTGGGATATAGCACATATTTGTTGTTAACTGTTGTTATTCTATATTTTTATATTTTATCAATTTATATATTTATACACACTATATCCTCTTCCATTGCAATATGTTGGCACAACACAAACCGGAGTAATGCACATGTAAACATCTGCCACTTTGTTCTTTCTCTGCAAATAGCTGTATTATTTTTCTCTATTCTTTTATCCTTCTTACATAACTTACATCCGCTTATTCCAATTTTTTTATATTTCTACATTTATTTACTGTATGTCGACTGTATGTTTGTCTACGTGTAGCACCTTATCGTCAAAGCAAATTCCTCATAGGTGTAAAAAGTACTTGGCAATAAAGTTCTTTCTGATTCTGATTCTAGACGATGAAGGCTTACAAAGTTGAAGAAATTCTCAATGACCGTCCAGTAATAACTATGTCTGATGACCATAATGACTTGGAAGCTCTCACAACCGACCATTTGCTTTAGCTTAAGGTAAAGCTAATCATGCCACCCAGACTCTTTTGCAAGGATGACTTGTACTCCAAGAAACGATAGAGGCAAATTAAATACCTTGTAAAGCTTTTCTGGAAGAGATGGATCAAACAATATCTCCCATTGCTGCAGGAGCGCCAGAAATGGAAAATCTCAAGTGGAATCTTGCTACTGAAAAAAAAGATATAAAGAAACTTTAAGTTGCAACTACGCCACCTGGGGAGTTTCACCCCAGGAAATATACACTAAGGCTGACCAAAGATAAACACACTTCACTAGAAAGCACAGCTTCGCGTAGGGAGGGAGGGACAGAGACAGTGGTTCATTCACATATAAAAAGAATCTTTGTTTTAATTAACAATTATCTGAAATCTCTTAAAAAGCAGCCACTTGCGTAAAAACATTCCTTCTGACATGCATCACCCAAACCAAAAGTAAACAATTCAAACAAACCAGTTTATTCTAACAAAGCAAATTAATTCAAACAAGGCAAAGGTTAATTCAGAGAGAAATAAATTTACACAAAGCAAACTATTACTTCAAACAATGCAAGTAATTAATTCAAACAACAAGACTAAGTGGTTAATCTAAGCAACAAAAGTAACCCATAAATAATCATTAATAAGCGGTAACAATGTTCAAAAGGGCAAGGCAGAAACAAAGAAGATCCAGTCAGAATGGAGTAAATCTACCATCACTAAGGGTCAACTCAATGATCGCAGAGAAGCAAGACAGCAGGGAGAATGAGGCTGATCCCGTCCCTGAAAAACACACACAGGAGAGCTCATTTTAGCTCTCCTGCCGCTGAATCCCAGTGCACCAACACAGATTTCAACTAAACAAGTATTTGGACAATCTCCTTACCAGTGAATGAGCAGCAATAAGCACCCCAGCGTAGCCCTGATGATCAACGAACGCACACCGACCCCAAACCCTAGCACCACAATCGAAAACAAGAAACCACCTGGAACACAACACCCTGAGAGCATGCAGCCTCCCTAACTGCTCCCCCTACCAACCGAGGCAGATGATGAACATTGGAATGTCAGCCAGCACTGGAATGGGCTGTCCATTGTACAGCTGCTCCATTGTTCCGCCTGACTCGGTAGGGCAGCTGGTGAAGCGGGAGGTAACTGGTCAGTCCTGGCATGGATGAAGACCCCCGAAGGGCCTGGCTCCATAGGGGCCAGCTCAACTAAGCAGTGGAGGACGGGTGGGCTAGGTCAGTAGGGGGGCCACTGGCGGAACTTCACGCCACAGAAACCATGAGACATCCTCGCTTGACTCATGCACAGAAGTTGGGTCATTGGTGGGGTGCCCCCTGGGGAATGTACACCAACCACAGCCTTCAACAAGTTGCGCTGGACCTGCCGAACCCTAGATGGGTCGTCAGCAGGTGTGATCATGTAGACTGGCCCATACCCTTAGGTGCCCTCAGGACTCCAAACAGCGCTGGACATCACACATCCTGCATTTCGTGCCATCCTTGTGTACTGCAGTGGCGTAGATATATTAACTGGCCCTCCTCCAGTGGAACACTTCACACATGCTGGTCATGATTTTTCATTTGCCCTCAACCGCTTCTTAGCACTTAGCTGTCTGCAACCAATGTTCCTGGATTCACTTGTGCACACTACCTCCGGCGGGTTCTGGTACTCTACAAATCAAGAAATCAACTAAGAGCCGGGGCTCATGACTGTGGTCCAACACAGTGTAATCGATGGCAAAGATTTCATTAGGTTGTGAAGGCAACAAATGCCCCATGTAGCTCCGGGCAGCTTCTTGGAGTGTCTTTGGCCACTTCACACCTCTCACAGGCTTGGCACCACCTCAGCAGACATCTTTGGCCAGTAACACCACGGTCGTAACAGCTGTAAGCTGTATGCCCATGCTCCTGGTGCATCTGGGTTAGCACCTCCTCTTTCAAGACAGGTGGCAGGAGCACTTGGTACACCGCTTCAGCACCATCAGGGCGAATCACTGTGCGATACATCACTGCATCTTTTTCGACCATGTGGCCCCATTGCTAGAGCAGCATCTGTGACGGCTGACTTAATAGCCGCCACTCCTCTTGGATGGGACGCTGGTTCTGTTTCCAGAATGTCACCACTTCTTGGATCACTGGATTGGCCTGTTGAAGATCGCTCATGTCGGCAGGGGCATGCTGCGGCAACACTATGACAGCTGCTTGGGTGACCTGGGTCTTTCTAGCCTGGAGTGCTTGTCTAAGTGGTTTTGGGAGAGGGGTCCTGAGCAACATAACTTCCAAATCTTGGCTGCCAGATGACGAGAGAGCATGTCTGCATTTCCATTGCTTACCAGTTGAGAGATGGCTAAGGGGGTTGTTGTCCGTATAAGCAGCACACTCATAGCCCAGCAGGTACTCACGGAACTTTCCAGTCATGCCCCACTTGAGTGCCAAAAACTCCAACTTCATGGAGCTGTATTTGGACATGTTGCGCTCAGTGGGCCTCAGCCCTCTGCTGGCATAGGCGATGGGACAGAGCTTGCCATCTTACTTCTGGGACAGCACGGCCCCTAGACCCCCAAATCTTGTGTCAATCTCCAACGCAAAAGGGAGCAAGAAGTAAGCATAAGCCAGCACAAGGGCAGTGTTGAGGTTAGTCTTCAAGGCCTCAAAACATGCATTTGCATTACTCTGTCCACCTCTCTCCAACACTCTCTGCTCTACTCTGCCTCTGGGACCTCCCAGCTGTGCCACTAACCAGTGCAAAAGTGTTGCCAAGTTGGTGAAGTCTTCCACAAACCACCGATAGTAGCTGGCAAACCCCAGCAATGACCTCAACCCAGAGACTGGTGGGGGGTGGCCACTCTGCTACCACCTCGATCTTACTGGGATCTGTAAACACACCCTTGGCAGAGATCACAGTACAGAGCTTTAAAGCCTCCCGGGTCCGCTCAGCCAATCCCTGCCAACACACCCACCACGCCCCCCAGCTGTGCTGTCACATTTGGCTCCTTGAAGACTTATGTTGGAATAATGGTTACATTAATCACGGCCACAATTAGTGCCGGAATGTAGGAGCCAAAATAGCAGTTTTTGTTTATATTTAAAGAACAATATTTATTATTTCAAGACATATTTTTGGTTATAGTTCTGATTCACTAGTTTTTAATGGCCAGCTTGGCCACTGATTGGCAAATCAGCTACACCATGGTAACTGTGGGTGTGGTATAATAAATAAAGTGAAGTTGGAAATAGGAGTAAGGTTCCTAGCTTTATGAATTTGGATCTGGGAACTTCTTCATAGACTGGATTTAAACATTATACAGTTCCTCAAGAGCTTCTGTCAGGACAAATGAACATACATCTCCAAGCTTCAGTCTTCAGAAGGGCACCAGTCAGGGTTGCCCACTCTCTCCCTCACTTTTTACCATTTTTAATGCCCCTTCTCCTGCCCCTGGAGCCCCGGCGTGTCAGTGCTGCCGCTGGGTCGTGTCTGCCTTGTTTGGCCTGGGGCACGTTGAGGGGGACGTAGCTCCCCGGTGTGGAAGCTGGTTGTCTCCTGTTGCCCCCTCAACCCCACCCCATCCCATCCCACCCCCCATGTTCTTCTGCAGGTGTCTTAGCTTACTGAAATTGGAGTATTTTCTCGGTTTCATTTTTCTGGTAAGTACATTAAGCCTGTTTGTCACTTGTCAAAATTTCCATCCCATGTATGGATGCACCGTATTAAACAAGCTAAGTAGCGCCACCCTCTTGTCCAAATATGGTCACATCCGGTTCCAAAAAACAAGATGGCAACTGCCAAAATGCCAAACTCAAGGCTTCAAAACAGAAGTTCACAAACCAGTAGGTGATGTCAAGGTGGCTATAACAAAAATAATTCAACATTGACTTGATTTCACACGGGACTCAAACGCTGGTCTCCTGTGTGAAAGTCCTGAGTTTGTTTGACCCAACTATCTACTCAATCCACCTCCTTCCTTTCTCGCTCTTTATACTACCTCACCTGACTTCCTCCTTTGTTACCGTCACAGAGCCACTAGAGGTTGCGGCCTAACAATGAAGACAATTATAGGTCTTAATAACGTGAACAAATGCTTGAACAAATCACCTATATGTTCATCTGTGCTCTTGCTCTTCCTGAGGGAGTGTGAGGACGATTATTGTAGTCAGTACAGATTTGGATTGGCTAAATGTAGATTTGTTCAAGTTCCTAAAAACATCGTTACCTTATTGGCTGCCTTGTTTGGCTGCAAAAATGAGTATTAGTAGGTGCCATCTTACTGGATTGTTTATTATCAGCAGGACACCGCACAGGTTTGAAATTGATGGATTTCATTGCATTGATGCAGTAATTCATGCAAGAGAAGCCCCACCCAAGTGCATAAATTAACCTTATTGAGAACTTTTTAACTTTTCAGAAGGTCGACATTTCTGTTGAGATTAAAACTAAAAAAAGCCTGGAATATTTCACTTTATGTGAAGTGAATCTAGAATATTCATTTTTTTGACTGAAATTACAGAGGAAAATGAATTTTTCCACATTTTTCTGAAAAGCACCCGTACAGTATATTGATTAGACGTTATACAAACAGTGCATTTGAAATATAAATATCTATCCTGACAGGCAGTGTCTTGGTCTCAGTTTTGTTCCCTCCATTAGACGTACATTATGCTGCTTCTTATGTTATACCGTAAAGATTTTCAGATGTTTTACAAAAAACTTTGATAAAGAGAACATTTGGTAAAAGAGTTTAAATATTTTGTCTACGTAAATGGCTTATGTTGGCAGTAAGCAGAATTTTAACTATAATACTTTATTATAAACATTAAAAAATTTACACAAGAAAAACAGCAAGGGCAATGAGATGTGCTGTAGTTCTTACAAACATGCTTGGTAAACAGTTTCTATTCTGTGTGGACTCTCATGTGTTTCTTAAGATAACGCTGGACTTTAAATCTCATACCACAAACATCACAGCCAAATGGTTTATCTCCTGTGTGGACTGTTATGTGTTTCTTAAGATAACACTGGAATTTAAATCTCATCCCACAAACATCACAGCCAAATGGTTTATCTCCTGTGTGGACTCTCATGTGTCTCTTAACATAACCCTGGACTTTAAATCTCATCCCACAAACCTCACAGCCATATGGTTTCTCGCCTGTGTGGATTCTCATGTGTCTCTTAAGTTTTCCCCGGATTGTAAATCTCATCCCACAAACCTCACAGCCAAATGGTTTCTCGCTTGTGTGGATTCTCATGTGTCTCTTAAGTTTTCCCTGGATTGTAAATCTCATCCCACAAACATCACAGCCAAATGGTTTCTCTCTTGTGTGGACTCTCATGTGTCTTTTAAGATAACCCTGGACTTTAAATCTCATCCCACAAACATCACAGCCAAATTGTTTCTCCCCTGTGTGGACTCTTATGTGTTTCTTAAGATAACCCTGGACTTTAAATCTCATCCCACAAACATCACAGCCATATGGTTTCTCGCCTGTGTGGATTCTCATATGTCTCTTAAGTTTTTCCTGAACTATAAATCTCATCCCACAAACATCACAGCCATATGGTTTCTCGCCTGTGTGGACTCTCATGTGTGTCTTAAGTTTTCCCTGGACTATAAATCTCATCCCACAAACATCACAACCAAATGGTTTCTTGCCCATGTGGACTCTCATGTGTCTCTTAAGATAATCCTGGACTTTAAATCTCATCCCACAAACATCACAGCCAAATGGTTTCTCTACTGTGTGGACACTCATGTGTCTCTTCAGAGAACCCTGTTCTGTAAAACTCATCCCACAAACATCACAGCCAAAGTGTTTCTCTCCTGCGTGCCCTCTCATGTGTTTCTTAAGAGAACCCTTTTGTGTAAATCTCCCCCCACAAATATCACAGCCAAATGGTTTCTCTCCTGTGTGGACTGTCTTGTGTCTCTTAAGATTTCCCTGGACAGTAAACCTCGCCCCACAAACATCACAGCTAAATGGTTTCTCTCCTGTGTGGACTCTCATCTGTGAATCTGCATTTTGCTTCATTCTAAAAGATTTTTTATTAACCAGACAGCTGGAGGACCTTTTTCCTGAATGACACATGATGTGTCTCTGAAGAGACCTCTTGTAGTGATATCGTTTACCACACTCTGAGCAGCTAAATGATTCTTTCCCAGCATTACATCCTGCATCACTTACAGGAGCTTCCTTATATTTCAGAGCATTTACACCTGACTCAGGTGCTCTGGTCTCCTTCCAACCATTGTCACTGTCTTCAGTTTCAGCTTCAGAATCTGACAAAGGTTCATGACAGTTATTTTTACTGACTTCAGAGTCTGAAGCTTTTTCATCAGTATCTGGTTGTAAATGACTATCTGGATCAAGGTTCCCAGCAGGTTCTGATCCTCCATCAGTTTCTGTTTTTATCTGCGTAGCTGAGCTGCTGGCTGAAGGCTCTGCCTCTCTGTTGTCCTCAGTTTGTCTTTGATGAAGCTGTGGAGACTGAGGTTTCTCTTCCTCATCTTCACTCTTCACAGTAACAGCAGTGAATGGGAACCTGGTGATATCAGCCTCCTCCAGTCCATTAAGCTGCTCTCCCTCCTGACTGGTCCAGAGTTCCTCCTGTTCTTCTTTTATGTGTAGGGGCTCTGGGTCCTCCTGGTCCAGACTGGGGCTCCACTCAGAGGGAACCTCTTCTTTAATCACCAACAGCTTCTGGACATCTGCAGGAAACACTGAAACACACAGCAAAAATGCTGGCAGCCATTTTCTAGGAAACTAATAAAAGAAAAGAAAAAGAAGAGCTAATCTATAATGTGGAAGAATGAGTTCCCTTAATAAATATTCGGATACAGGTCAAGAACACGTGTAACCAAAGTGATGGTGCAAATTAATTTAAATAAACAACTGGGGTGATTTTAACAGCCCTCCAGAACACCACATATGCGCTGTTAGATCTGATGATGACAGCAGGATGACATTGAGTTACCGTCAACTTCAGATCTGGAGGTAAACAAAGTCTTACCGGTCTTCATTCGAGGCATCCCCACTCCACCTGTGATTCTCCTCTTTACAATCCTTTAGGTAGTAGGTTTTTTCAGAATTCAGGGCATATGAACAATGTCTTCTGCCGTTTTGCTTGTAAAGTCTTCTGAAACTGTAATTACATACATTTCAACCATTCAATATCAGTTAGTGCACATGTAAGTTATAGTCCAGAGCAGCAAGCAGAACTCTTGCCTCATAAACTGGGGAAATGAAAGTGAAGCGCTTGCTGGTATACATCAATATATGATTTTAGAATGCCTCTAGGTCTGCAGCTGATCTGATGAAAAAAAATAAATAATCTCTCTCTCTATATATATACACATCTCTCTCTCTCTCTCTCTCTATCTATCTCTCTATCTATATCTATATATATATATAGATATATAGATAGATATAGATAGATAGATAGATAGATAGATAGTGTGTCTGAGTGTGGGGAGAAGAGAATTCTGAGGAAGGTGCGAAGCGTATTTAAAATTTATAATAACAATGTTCGTGGTGATTAAAACCTGCTTTCACATGGTGGTATTATGTGAAAAATCTAGAATTTTTTTGCCAGCAGGCGGGGTTTTACAATCACGATGCCTGCTCAACCATCGACCATCTGTCAGCCATCGCCGATGGACTATGGTATCGACACCCGGCCCAACCCTAACATAAATATATATCCCTTTTTATCTGACCACTATTTAATAATTTTTGAGTTCCTATTGCTGGACCACACATTATTAGGCAAAAATGTCTACAAGAGATCAATCTGATAGTGCTGTAGCTGAATTTAAGGAAGTGATTCCATCAGCTTTTTATTTAACATGTAACAGAGTACTAGAGTACTACAATGCTAATTTCAGTCCTTCCCAAGTCGATCATCTTGTTGATAGTGCTGCAGGATCACTGCACATGACAATCGACTCTGTTGCCCCTCTAAAAAAGAAAGCAATAAAACAAAGATTGTTAGCTCCATAGTATAACACTGAAACTCACAAATTAAAGTGAAGATTTGGGTAACTTGAAAGGAAACAGCGTTCCACCAATCTGGAAGAATCTCGTTTAATCTGGCAAGATAGTCTTAAAACTTATAGTAAGGCCCTCCTTAATTTCACAAGGATCTGTGCTGGGACCAATCCTGTTCACTTTATATATGCTTCCTTTAGACAATATCAGGAAACACCCCATAAACTTTCATTGTTATGCAGATGATACTCAATTCTATATATCGATCAAGCCAGATGAAACTAATCTGTTAGCTAAACTCCAAATGTGCCTCCATATGGAGCATTACAGAATAAGAGCTTTTTGCCTGCCTCATTTTGCCGATTTTATTGATTTGTTCGGCTGTCCTTGATTTCTGTGAACAGATTCTCTATGCCATTCTTTGTCTGACTTCCTGCCCGGTTCATCTGCTCTGCGCTGCTTGACACGGCTTCCGTCAAAAATAGACTGGCAGTGAATATTTAACTTTTGCTAAAAGTTTTTTTTAAATCCAATCATAATTGCAATAATAAAAGAAAATCGTTTTTCGGGGGGGGGGGGGGGGGGGGGGGTCCTAGCAGAAACGGGAAGCCAGTGAAGTGAAAGGAGAATGGGTGTAATGTGGTCATACTTTTGCACTCTCATCAGAAACCTTTTAGCACTGTTCTGAACATACTGCAGTCTCCACAGACTCTTGTTAGGGATCCCGATCAGAAGTGCATTACAGTAATTCAGTATGGAGGAGACAAAGATGTGGACCAGTTTTTCAGCAGTGTGGAACAGAGTTTTGCAATATTTCTGAAATGGTTTGATATGGGCTTAAAATGTGAGTTGTGGGTCAAATCTTACACCAAGATTGGTGACTGTTGTGGAGACCAGAGAAAGTAATACCAGTTATGGAGGATGACTGGATTTGATACAAGGTGCCAACAAGAATTGCCTTAGTTTTGGAGCTGTTCAACTGAAGGAAGTTGTGTTTGATCCATACCTTTATCTCCTCCAGACAGGTGGTGAGTGTTGAAGAAGATGATGATGTTGATGAAGCTGCAGTGGTGTGTGTCTGCGATTTTAAGTACAGTTGTGTGTCATCAGCATAGCAGAGAAATGAGACTCCTTAGAGGCTAATGAAATAGCCGAGGGGTAGGATGTACAGTATCTCATCTCCCCTCATATATTTGTAAATATTTGATTATATCTTTTCATGTGACAACACTGAAGAAATGACACTTTACTACAATGTAAAGTAGTAACTGTACAGCTTGTTTAACAGTGCAAATTTGCTGTCCCCTCAAAATAACACATCACACACCCATTAATGTCTAAACCGCTGGCTACAAAAGTGAGTACACCACTAAGTGAAAATGTCCAAATTGGGCTGAAAAGATATAATCAAATGTTTACAAAAATGTGAGGGGTGTACTCACTTTGATGAGATACTGTAAAAATGAAGAGGATGGTGCCAAGTACTGACCCCTGGGGGAGGCTGCAGGTGACCTTGAGTTGCCGGGACCATGCACTTCCTAGTGAAATGTACTCTGTTCTGTCAGTGAGGTACGATTTAAACCAGTTAAGAGCAGGGTCAGTGAGTCCAGTGGTTTGGTGTAGCCAGTTGAGGAGTATGCCATGATACACAGAATTGAAATCAGCAGACAGATCGAGGGATATAGTGAGCCAGCATCAGCTGTCATTTGTAGGTCATTTTTAACTCTAACCAGGGCTGTTTCTGTGCTGTGAGCAGAGCGGAAACCAGACTGAAATATTTCAAAAACGTTGTTATGTTTGAGGTGGTCCTGCAGATGGGCGGCAACAACTTTTCCAGTACTTAGAAGAAGAATGGGAGATTGGAAATTGGCCTGTAATTTGCTAATACAGTACAATACAACTGAGTTGTACTGCACACCATAGTGGCTGATGGTAGAGAAGTGCAGCCATACTGTTAGTCATGCAGTGCGCAGGGTAGTTCATTAGTAAAACGTGTTCATTTAAGCCCGTTTATCTTTTTAATGTAAATAATAGTACTAATTACAATAAAAAATCCATTATTTATGATTCATAATAATGGTTGTTGACAAATGAATTAGTGACCCACACAGTTGCATGATTTTGATGCTTTCATGGGAGCTCAGACCCTTCTTATGGGAGCTGAGCTCCCACTGGCTCCCACATAACTCGAACCCTACTAGACCAGGTGCTTTCTGATCAGATGTCGTCTTGCGGTAGGCTACATACGTTTTGTTTTAACGGTGGAAAGATTGTGACATTACAGAGTTGTTTTCTTTTAGCTTGAAATAATCCCAGACTTTGGACACTTTCTTCTTCGTCCCTCCTATTTTCTCTCTCTTCCTCCACTTTGCAAACAGCGCCATCATAATCACATTGTGTTCACTTGATCACAGAGAGAACGTGATGTGTGACAGTTAAAAATGTCCAAGCAAAACAATATATAGTTATATGGATTAAACCAGCGGTTCCCAAACTTTTTAGGCAACACACCCCTTCTACATCTTGACCGGGTTGCTGCACCCCCACACCTCCTCTCTCTAGGTTTGCTCATATATATATATATATATATATATAAATGTATGTGTGTGTGTGTGTGTGTGTGTGTACATATACAAATAGATGTATTTTGTACTTATTTATTTTTTTACTTATTTGTTTGCTTAGTGTCCCGCCCACAGCACTGATTGGTTAAACGTTGCGAATAATAGCCTATCAACACTTTGCTCCATTGAGCAGCAGAATAGTGTTAAATAGAAGGCAGCCGATATTACTGAAGGTGCAATAAACATCAAAATATGATGATCTGTTTACAGTGGGTACGGAAAGTATTCAGACCCCTTTAAATTTTTCACTCTTTGTTTCATTGCAGCCATTTTCCAAAAATCAAAAAAGTTCATTTTATTTCTCAGTAATGTACACTCAGCACCCCATCTTGACAGAAAAAAAAACAGAAATGTAGAAATTTTTGCAAATTTATTAAAAAAGAAAAACTGAAATATCACATGGTCATAAGTATTCAGACCCTTTGCCGTGACACTCATATTTAACTCAGGTGCTGTCTATTTCTTCTGATCATCCTTGAGATGGTTCTACACCTTCATTTGAGTCCAGCTGTGTTTGATTATACTGATTGGACTTGATTAGGAAAGCCACACACCTGTCTATATAAGACCTTACAGCTCACAGTGCATGTCAGAGCAAATGAGAATCATGAGGTCAAAGGAACTGCCTGAAGAGCTCAGAGACAGAATTGTGGCAAGGCACAGATCTGGCCAAGGTTACAAAAAAATTTCTGCTGCACTTAAGGTTCCTAAGAGCACAGTGGCCTCCATAATCCTCAAATGGAAGACGTTTGGGACGACCAGAACCCTTCCTAGAGCTGGCCGTCCGGCCAAACTGAGCTATCGGGGGAGAAGAGCCTTGGTGAGAGAGGTAAAGAAGAACCCAAAGGTCACTGTGGCTGAGCTCCAGAGATGCAGTCGGGAGATGGGAGAAAGTTGTAGTAAGTCAACCATCACTGCAGCAATCCACCAGTCGGGGCTTTATGGCAGAGTGGCCCGACGGAAGCCTCTCCTCAGTGCAAGACACATGGAAGCCCGCATGGAATTTGCTAAAAAACACCTGAAGGACTCCAAGATGGTGATAAATAAGATCCTCTGGTCTGATGAGACCAAGATAAAACTTTTTGGCCTTAATTCTAAGCGGTATTTGTGGAGAAAACCAGGCACTGCTCATCACCTGTCCAATACAGTCTCAACAGTGAAGCATGGTGGTGGCAGCATCATGCTGTGGGGGTGTTTTTCAGCTGCAGGGACAGGACGACTGGTTGCAATCAAGGGAAAGATGAATGCGGCCAAGTACAGGGATATCCTGGACGAAAACCTTTTCCAGAGTGCTCTGGACCTCAGACTGGGCCGAAGGTTTACCTTCCAACAAGACAATGACCCTAAGCACACCGCTAAAATAACGAAGGAGTGGCTTCACAACAACTCCGTGGCTGTTCTTGAATGGCCCAGCCAGAGCCCTGACTTAAACCCAATTGAGCATCTCTGGAGAGACCTGAAAGTGGCTGTCCACCAACGTTTACCATCCAACCTGACAGAACTGGAGAGGATCTGCAAGGAGGAATGGCAGAGGATACCCAAATCCAGATGTGAGCTCATGGCTGTATTAGATCAAAAGGGTGCTTCTACTAAATACTGAGCAAAGGGTCTGAATACTTATGACCATGTGATATTTCAGTTTTTCTTTTTTAATAAATTTGCAAAAATTTCTACATTTCTGTTTTTTTCTGTCAAGATGGGGTGCTGAGTGTACATTACTGAGAAATAAAATGAACTTTTTTGATTTTTGGAAAATGGCTGCAATGAAACAAAGAGTGAAAAATTTAAAGGGGTCTGAATACTTTCCGTACCCACTGTATATGATGACAAGCAGCCCAGTGTCTGTTACACCAGTGAACATGCCCGAAGTCACTCTATCCTGTATGCAGGATAAGCGGTTGATGATGGATGGATGGATGGATGGAATACCCCCCTCTCTGTTTTTTTACAAATTGCACCCTCATAAGCCTCATAAACAGATAACATGGACAAAAACAGGATCCATGAGGATTTGTAAGTAGGCTAGAGAGAGGGAGAGGGAAAGAGGTGTGTGAGTAGCCATTTCTTGTGAGTTAACTATTAATAATAACGTTGTTCATTTTAAATTAAATTTACAAAGGAAAGTTATTTCATGACAAATTCCACAAAAAATTAATTGTAGTTTTTACACTACTACACCAACGTTACATTTTTCCCCCTTGGGGTGCGTGAGATGCCTCTACGGGGTGCGCGCACCACACTTTAGGAATCGCTCGATTAAACAAAGCATCGATGCAAATAATTTTTGTATATGTTTAATCAATGAATCGCTAAAGCCCTAATTTTTATAGGCAAAATTTGCGGGTTGTGTTTACTCATGTAAAAAGAGCTGACTTTAAAACTACCAATTTGATAAGGCACCTACAAATAAACACCTAACAGAATAAAAAAGGAGTTTTCACGTGTAACTCAGGCAAAAGCTGCACACAGAAAGGAACACACACCGGAGGTTACTTTCAGAGGTGGGCAGTAACGAGTTACTTTTACTCCATTACATGTCAAGTAACTTTTTAGAGCAAATTGTACTTGTCAAAGTAGTTTTAATGCTTCATACTTTTACTCTTACTTGAGTAGCTAAGAGAAAAATCATTACTTTTACTCTGGTACATTTGGATACATTCATCGCACTTCTTCACTACTTGTTTATTTACTTAGAATAATGGCTGAAGCTACAGGATGGTAGTATGGCTTTCAAATGGCGCCAGCAGCTAATATTTAACCTACAGTTTAAAATTTTGTGCACCATGCAGCCAGCCCCATCTCATAGCCAGGGCGTGTCTGACACTGTGGGATGCGACTGTGTTGGTGCAGCAGGTTTTGTTTGTGAAGTCAGCAGGCTACATACACAGTGCTGACACTGAGCTGACAGTGTCTGTTGTGTTTAAAATCAGAATCAATTATGCTAATCTGTTTAATAATAGATAGCTACTCACAGTATATCAAGCTTAAAAACTCCTCCTAGTTTCTGCAGTTAACTAGTCATGCTCACTAATGTAGCGTAATTATGTGTATGTGACTGATGTCTCAACCACAGATTATCTTCCTCAGGTAAACGTGAAGAAGACAACACAACTTTATTCAATAGGAAATAAATTATGGAACATAACAGCTTTATCTCCTAATTTGATTTGTTTGCCGAATCATAATATGAGGGACACTAAGAAAATAAAGAATAATCTTTACTTATTGGAGTCCTACACATTATAATACTGCAATATTTTGTAATCACAGTTGATGTATATACACTGTGAATAATGAGAGATGATGACGACTTATAAAGAGATTTCCATTTGGGGAAGGCCGCACCGATGTTTATTATTGTATTCTGCCGTCGTCTGTCCACATTTCTTCTGCTAAATAACACGTACGAACCTCCATTTGTCAAAATGTTGGATTCCTGGTTAGCCAGCAAACACTTTTCACTCACCTCCTCTTCTTTACTCTCCTTTGTCTTTCGTATTCTACTTTCTCCAGTTTGTTTTCTACCATCTGCACATGGATGCAGGGTCTGCAGGAGAGGAAGGTTCTGGTTTCCGCCTGTAGTCCGGGGAGTATTGACCAATCACGTTGCAGCGGGCTTTGGTTGCATGCAGGTAAACAGTCCGTGTGGAGCGCAAAAGAGGCGGAACGCATCGGCCGAAATGTAAATCTGAACCCATCGGCTATCATCTGACGACCATTTAGCTTTTTATTAGCTTTTTAAATAATGTATCTGCATTCAAATGCGGATGTCTGTTTATAGAGATTAGCCGAAATGTCGTCTGGATGTCTCTGAAGTTGCTAGTCGGACTGTAAACAATGACCGGCGCACGAACCTCTGATTGGCTCAGCCTGACGATGGTGTTACAGAAAGGGCTCTTCTTATTTCTCTGTTTTGTTCCTCCTCTCATCTCTCCTCCGTCCTCCTGCCTGTGACCGAAGGCATTTCTCAGTTTGTTTGTTTTATAAATTATATGATCTGTGGTACATGTACAATGTAAATTAGAAAATCAATTAAAAACAAGAAATTAAGAGATTAAGAGATTAAAACATGTAAAAAAAAATACTACGGTTAATAAAAACGTAACGAGCACATAATGAGTCTTAATAGCCTTCTTATTTTTAATGTCTTTGATCATGGTGCTATACTGACACAGTTCTTGATAAAATTTGACAAAATGTGGTTTGGATTTAGCCCATTTCGTCTTGCGAATGTGAAATTTCCCTAATAATAAAACTAACTGTACAAATTATAACTTTTTTCCTTCTTATTACTTTCACAACATATACGAATGTCTTCATCCTGAAATGGAATTGTTTGCACAGTTTTCCGGCTTTTATAATGGTAAACAACCAAAATATTCTACTATACAATGATTAAACAAATGACAGACGACTCCACCAGTTGCAAAAAGAAGTCTAATTAAATTGTAGTCAACAGCAAAATAACCCTAATTCTCATTTGAATTAACACATCAGTACACAGTATAAGAACACTTTGCTAATAAGATGTTAACTTTGTTAACTTTTTGTGTCATAAAGAGACATTAAAAGTGCTTTCTCTGCTGTGTTTGCTGTTAAACGTTTTTAAGGCTCTGATAACAGAGGATGAGCTTAGCATGATGCAAATAATCAAAATCTAAACACATGGTGCTGCTGACCGGTTTGTCATGGAAAATTCATTTGTAAAGCTTTTCCACAATGAAGGACTAAATACCTTCGTTAACTTACTACAGTGACATATCTAGGAAAGTATACGAAAGTATGGAAACTGTAAAATAAAATAAAACTTTCAGTAACAAACTAAAAAAGAATCACAACCCTACTTTGATAGTCATTTTCATTTTATAAATCTCATTTTTAAAAAAGGTGAAAACCTGAGTAAGGTGCACCAAAGGACGCACCTCCTACTACACTTTTAAAAAATGTAATCCAATATTTCAGATGACTGTATTACTTAGTTTACACAAAATGTACATTGTTAATACAGATACATTCCTTGATGTGCAGTATGTTTGGAATATTTTTGTTCCTTCCATCGCAGAGCTACAGTAGGCCGTGTTGTCACTGCCGTTATTACAATAAAGATTTATCCAATTTTTTTTGGAAAACAGTTTTGGTTCCCCGCCTTGTTTTATTTTTTTCCTCGCAGCAGAGAACTATTAGTTAAAAGGTGAGGGTGGCAGTCATTACAGCCATTCAATGACACACTCATGGTTTGGTGTGTTAATATGCTGATGACTTGAACCTTTTATTTTCACATCCATACATCATCAAGGTATACACATTTTCCAACTAGCGTCACCATTAATACTCCTGGTGTACTGCAGTATAAAAGTGCAGATGGCATATGAGGCAGCATGTGTAAATGTCATTTTCATCTTTGCAGCTTTTAAGTGTTTGCAGACAGCTTTTGTCAATTTGGATTTAGCCACAACAAGCCAAGCGAAATGTGTGTTCTTTAGTCTGTCTTATTTCTAAAGTTGTTGGTACTGGTGGTATTTTGCTTACATGCCACACAGAGCCGTTGTGTCCGTCTGCCTAAACGACATATTTCTTAAACACCACACAATGAGGAAAGACAAAAACAAAACAATTGAAGACAATGCCAACTACTGTGGTTTTACCAACACAATCTTTCACAACAAACCCTGCAACTGAAGTGGTTCTATCCTGTGTGGATTCTCATGTGTGTTTTCAGATGTGGCTGCTGTGTAAATCTTATACCACAAACATCACAGCTAAATGGTTTCTCTCCTGTGTGGACTCTCATGTGTAATGTAAGATGTGTCCGCTTGTTAAACCTTTTACCACAAACCCCACAGCCAAATGGTTTCCCTCTTGTGTGGACTCTTCTCTGTGAATCTACATTTTCCTTTACTTTACAACATTTCTCATTAACCAGATGGGTGGAAGGCCTTTTGCTTAAATGACATATCATGTGTCTCTGAAGAGACCCCTTGTGGTGATATTGTTTACCACACTCAAAGCAGCTAAAGGATTTTCCCCCAGCACTACATTCCACATCACTTACAGGAGCTTCCTTATATTTCAGAGCATTTACATCCAACTCAGGTGCTCTGGTCTCCATCCAACCATTGTCAATGTCTTCAGTTTCAGGCCCACAATCTGACAAAGGTTCATGCCGGTCATTACTACTGACTTCAGTGTCTGAAGCTTTTTCATCAGTATCTGGTTGTAAATGACTATCTGGATCAAGGTTCCCAGCAGGTTCTGATCCTCCATCAGTTTCTGTTTTTATCTGTGTAGCTGAGCTGCTGGCTGAAGGCTCTGCCTCTCTGTTGTCCTCAGTTTGGCTTAGATGAAGCTGTGGAGACTGAGGTTTCTCTTCCTCATCTTCACTCTTCACAGTAACAGCAGGGAATGGGAACCTGGTGATATCAGCCTCCTCCAGCCCATTAAGCTGCTCTTCCTCCTGACTGATCCAGAGTTCCTCCTGTTCTTCTTTTATGTGAAGGGGCTCTGGGTCCTTCTGTTCCAGACTGGGGCTACACGCTGGGGGAACCTGTATTTGAATCACCAACAGCCGCTGGACATCTGCAGGGAACACTGAAACACACCAAAAACCTGTTGGCAGTCATTTTCTAGGAAACTAATAAAAAAATAGAAATGTAATATAAACATATCTATAATGTGGAAAATGGAGTTCCATTTTTTAGGATACAGGTCAAGAGACCGTGTAACCATTGTTGTTAAAAAAAAAAAAAAAAGAGCAATAAGTGACGTCACCGCTACAGCGTAAGGTGGCACTTCTGACGGCAAATTGCTTTAATCTCCCAGATCCACATGAAGCACACACCTGGTAACCAGGCTTGCACACCCTGAGCGGCCCAGTTAATCCAGTGTGGACTTGCTTGTGTTCACATGCATCCATGTTCAAGCAAGTGCTGAACAATTGTCACCTTCATGAACCCGTGGTAAAGGAGAGACATTGTAATACCTTCCTGATGGATAATTTCATGTTCAGATGTTCTAACCTATTGTGTTGCGGTTTCTGCTTGCCGACCCATGTGGCTGTGTGGAGATAGATGTTATGTTGCTAGTTTAAAATATCTTGTCGTATTTACCTTTACTATTTAGCTCTGTTGTTAAGAGTCATTATTTCAAGGATATTAATAGTATTCGGACGATCCTATAGAGACACGGCATTTAATGCATAAGTAACGAGAAGATTTAAAGAACAGAGGAAATCCAAGTCCAGGTACAACAGCTGCTCATGGTACAGGGGTGTCCAACATTGACAAAGGAAGCCGGCAAAGATACTAATGCTGCCCCCTTGTGGAAATACAGCAGGAGCCAGGAGAGAACGCCACAGAGGCCTCAGTGTTACCACATTCATTCGACGCTCCTGCCTCCACACATTTTTAGTAAAGAGGATCGCCTTTACGTCCTATACTTGTGTCTAACAACCAACAGCCTAGAACAACTCCTGTGCTGTCACCATGATCAATAAACAGGATTCCTGCAAAACCCACTCCCATCCTGGCCCCACGTACGAAGCTTGCACAGCCTAAGCACCAGCACTCACCCAGCAACAGAGGTGACCATACCACCAATGGACTTGATGGGCAGCCCAAGCCTTGATGGGAGTCAGAGGTTAGCCAAGCTGTTCAAGGAAACACAGCAGCTAACTCCTCATCCAGAACATTAAAGCAAAATTTATCAGCGTATGTATCCATCTCCCCCAAGTTAGCATAAGCTTAGGAATCTCCCTGGTATACCAGGAGGTACCAGGAAAGAGCTGAAAATCCAGAGTTTGTCACTCTACTCTACACCTTACTACTCTGCATAACCTGCTAGCTGCATCAGTGCTCACCGGGAGGCACCCAGGCTGCAGGCCGTTTATCCTCGACAGAACGCTATTTGACAATACGTGCAGGCTCCATATAGGTCACAAGCTGGACCAGCCATTTACGAGGTCCTGAGGTTTGTGATGGGCAATGGATGGGCATGCAGCCTTTGGTGTAGGAGACCCGGGTTCAACTCCCCACTTTGACACATCCACCAATGTGTCCCAGAGCAAGACACTTAACCCCATATAGAGCAATTGTAAGTCGCTTTGGATAAAATGAATAAATGTAAATGAATAGGCCAGTGATGGTACATTCCTTATCATCTGGTTGAGCATAATGGTAAACCCAGTATTGTTTTCAACTCCTCTTTCCAATCCAAGGGACTGAACCTATTCCAAGTCTTTGCTGCCCAGGCCTGTCTTAGGTCCGTCCCTCTTAGGGGTACGTCTGTTATTCAGAGAATATGCCTTTGCCATCAAAGGTGATATAAAAGTGATGTTCCACCAGGTTCGTCTCCTCCCCGAGGACAGATCTCCCCTGACATTTGTGTGGCGTGGAGCAGACACTACTGATGCCCCAGATGTGTACGAGTGGCAGGTTCTCCCATTTGGTGCAAGATGCAGTCCATGTTGTGCCACATATGCCCTTAAGAGGCACGCTGATGCAAGGTTCTCTGTGGAGAGATGCTTTTATGTTGACAACTGCCTTCAGATTACGAAGGAAGATGCAAAACAACTTGTCACCAAATTAAGAGACGTTCTGGCATCAGGCGGATTTGAAATACGCCAGTGGGCCTGTAATGATGCAAGCGTGGTAAAATCTCTACAGTAGTGAACTGTGGCAGCACAAAGATCATGCAGATCCCCAAGAATCAATCCTAGAGCTGAGGTGGCAGTGCTTGGATGATACCCTTGGGTTCAAGCATTGCCCGATTGACCACGGGACACACACTCTCTGCAACGTGTACAGAGTCCTTGCTTTACAGTATGCCACTCTTGGGTTTACATTACCATTCACCACTCGTGACAAGGCGTTGGTTCAGCAGTTGCGGGCTAAGCAGAGGGAATGGGATAACCCATTCTTCCCAGAGGACTTACTGCATGACTGGATCAGTTGGCAGAGCAAGCTCACAGGTCTGCATCAAATTACCACACCAAGATGTCACAACTGGCATAGACAGGACTAGAGTTGCCAGAGATATACATGTTTTTTGCAACGCCTCAGAAAAAGCCTACTTCTCAGTGGCTTATCTGAGGTCTGAGGACAACCAAGCTAACATTGAGGTCACTTTCGTCATGGACAGGTCACGTGTCGCCCCCAAGAAGAAGCAATCTGTGCCAAGATTAGAACGTTGTGCTGCAGTATAAGGCGCCCAGCTTGCTAAGCTTATCAGGAACGAGCTTACTTTACTCATCAGACAAACAATATACTGGACCAACTCCATGACCGTGCTCAACTGGCTCCAGTCAGAGTCATGTAGATTCAAGTTCTTTGTAGGCACAAGGTTGCAGAGATCCAAGAGCTAACAGATCTACAGGCTTGGAGGTTTGTAGATTCTTCCTGCAATCCTGCTAATGACCTCACTAGAGGTAAGACCCTGTCAGATTTGACCCAGCCTAATCGATGGAGCCAAGGTCCTGCATTTTTGCAGCGACCACCCAGTGAATGGCCAATCAAACTTCCTGTCCTTCAGATGATACTGCTGAGCTCAAGAGATCCGTCATATGATGCATTACCACCGTGGGCATTAACACAGCAGTGCCTGATACAACTCAGTTCAGTACTAGGAGCGGGCTACTGGATGCAACTGCACAGGGATTGCTTGGGCGGCTGGAAGGGTTGGTAAACCCTCTGCCACCTGCTATCGTGAAGCAGAAATAATTATCTTATGTAAGGCCCAACAGGACAGTTTCGGTGATGACTATCACTCACTTAAAGCTGGCAAACAGGTGTCTATGAGTAACTGCCTACTCACCCTAGCTCCAGAGTTTGACATGACCACAGAGCTGATCAGGGTTGAAGGATGGCTTAGGCAAGCTGAAGGACTTGGGGAGTCTTCATACAGTCAGTCATTCTTCACCCCAGTCATCCCATAACCAAGCTCTTAATCCAAGACTATGACACCAAACTCTGCCATCTTTGTAGAGAAAGAGTATTTGGGGAGCTTCGATACACCTTCTGGATCTTGCGTGCAACGTAAGTAATACAAAAGAACCCGCATCATTGCTTTCAGTGCCGGAGATGGAAGTCAAAACCGGCAGTTCCAAAAATAGCAGATTTACCACCTGCCAGGCTAAGACTCACCAGACCACCCTTCTACTCCGCTGAGATGGATTGCTTTGGTCCATTCCAGATTAAATGGTAATGATAAATCGATCCGCAACTACCGAGAGCTTTCTGGGCAATTGGTAAGGTTATTGGGGTGTTCCCAGGTAAGGACTACTACTACTACTTAAGAGACGTGGCATTTAATGTCCCCGTTTCACCACTAGATAGTGCTCTTTGCCTATGTTTTCTGATATTAATCTTATTTCTCTGTCTGTGCAAGTAGTCATATCTTACTGCCTATGGATGACTAGTGTTCTTAAATATTATTGGTGATAGTTTACTACGGTAGCATTTGTAAACCATTTGCCTAGATAATTACTAAATTACCTACTTTGTTCTGAAAAAAATACTTTGAGACCCAACCCGTGTACAGAAATGAGATTCTGTTATGTGAATGACCTAAACTTTACGATTTATTTCTGTTGTTTTTCTGCAGAACCATCTACACAACACTAGTTCACCAAGCAAGATTAAAGCCTCTTTAAATGTCCTGTGCTCTGCGGTACCTCCAATCCAATTAATAAAGTGCAGAGAATGAATACAGGGGTCAACACAAGAGTCAGACAGTACAGTCCTCCATTTTAATAGTGATGGTGCACACCAACGATGGCAAGTAGTGAGGTAATCATCAAAAGTCTTTTACTACAATTTGCTTCAAAAACTTTGCGCCCTCCAGAACGACACATATAAGTGCCATCTGATTTGATGACGACGACGACGACGACGACATCAAGTCACCAACCACTTCGGGCCTGGAGGAAAACAAAGTCTTACCTGTCTTCCTTTTAGGCATCACCACTTCACTTGTGATTTTCCGCTTTACAATCCTTGCTTGCAGCTCAGAGACGTATGCGTAGGTTTTTTCAGATTTCAGGGCGTATAGGCTGTATCTTCTGCCGTTTTTCTTGTACAGCCTTCTGAAACTGTAATTACACAAATTCAACAATTCAATATCAGTTAGTAGTGGTGCAACGGATCGTAGTTGATTCATGAGTTGCAGTGAAAAGATAGAAAACATAGATGCATGCAGTTTAACTGAAGCACAGTGATTGGTTTAGGGGAGACCGTGTGATTTAAAAGCACTTTCGACACCACTGAGTGAAACCCGTTAAGCTGTTGAGTCTAATTTGACCCAAATTTTAATGTTTTACAGATCCCAAAATGATCCCATCTATGAATCAAAACCGGGGATCGATCTGAACCGTGAGTTTTGTGATCAGTTGTACCGCTATCTGTTAGTCATTTTAACAACAAATAATTATTCACTTGCACACAATATATTACTTCTTAATACGAATATTTCAAGTGTAAAACGTACATCTCTTTGCCTTCAGCTATTTTTACTGTTGGTCGGTTCCGGTGGAAGTTATAGTCCAGAGCAGCAAGCAGAACTCTTGCCTCATAAACTGGGGGACTGAAGGTGAAGCGCTTGCTGGCATACATCAGTATATGATTCTGGAATACCTCTAGGTCTGCAGTTGATCTGATTGAACACAAAATATATACAGAAATAATCACAAACCGTCATTATTTGCATCTGTGTGAAACATGTAGCCACACTTTACCTGAAGCGCAGGTATTTATGCACATCCTTCAGCCAACGCTTATTGAGAACGATGTCCACTAAAGCTTTGTGGCACCTGGAGTCTTTCTGGATCCACGCCTTTCCACATGTTTCTTCAAGATGCCCATGTTGACACCTTCCATTAGTCCAGATGTGAACGTCACAGACATGGTAAGTGATACCAACCCACAGTGCCTGCAAAAAACAGAATAGCACTATAAAAAGATATGGAAACAAATTTACTGTACAAAAGTGCAAAAAATTTACAAAAAAAAAAAAAAACAAAATATATAAAGGATGCGCTTACCAAAAACCTCTTGGCTGTGTCAGCTTTCTTACAACACCACCAAAAATGGTTTAGAATGTCTTTCAGCCAGATGAGGAGTTTGGCCTGTCCTTCCATCTTTGCTGCCTTCAAGAACAAAACAAAACGTGCATAATAACATAGAACATGGGTATTAAACCAAATTCAATGGAGGGCTGAGAGTAAACAGATTTTCATCCCAACCAAAGATTACACCTGACAATAATAATAATTTTTTTTATTTGTAATGCACTTCCAAAGTTAAGATCATAAAAGCAAGGTAAAAACATCAATATAAAATAAAAACAGCTTGCAGGGTTAATTAAAACTCATACGTTCTGCTAAAAAGAAATGTTTGGGGGGGGCATTTCCATAGATGCACTGGTGGGTGAGAAGAGAGACCTTGAATTCAATTCTAGCAGAAACGGGAAGCCAGTGAAGTGAATGGAGAATGGGTGTGATGTGGTTGTACTTTCGCACTCTCATCAGGATCCTTGCACTGTTCTGAATATACTGCAGTCTCTGCAGACTCTTGTTAGGGATCCCGATGAGAAGTGCGTTACAGTAATCCAGTCTGGAGTATATATATATATATATATATATATATATATATACACATTTCTGAGATGGTAGAAAGACGTCTTGCAGAGGTTTTTGATATGGGCTTCAAAAGGTGAGTTGTGGGTCAAATCATACTTAATCTGTGGAGAGAGGAATGTCATGACCAGAGATAGTTACACCGGTTATGAAGGATGCCTCAGTTTTGGAGCTGTTCAGCTGGAGGAAGTTGTGTTTCATCCATGCCTTTATCTCCTCCAGACAGGCAGTGAGTGTTGAAGAAGATGATGATGGTGATGCAGCTGCAGTGGTGTGTGTCCGATTACATGTACAGTGGTATGTCATCAGCATAGCAGTGAAAGGAGACTCCATGTCAACTGATGACGTGGCCGATGGAGAAGGATGTAAATAGTGAAGAGGACTGACTCCTGGGGGACTCCGCAAGTGACTGCGTGTTGCCGGGACCTTGCGCTTCCAAGTGAAATGTACTCTGTTCTGTCAGATATTATTTAAACCAGTTAAGAGTAGTGTCAGTGAGTTCAGTGGTTTGGTGTAGCCGGTTGAGAAGTTCGCCATGATCCACAGCGTCAAAAGCAGCAGACAGATCGAGGAGTATGAGGCCAGCATCAGCTGCCATTCGTAGGTCGTTTGTGACTATAGCCAGGGCTGTTTCTGTGCTGTGAGCAGTGTGGAAAACCAGACTGAATTTTTTCAAAAAGGTTGTTATGTTTGAGGTGGTGCTGCAGATCAGTGACAAAAACTTTTTCCAGTACTTTGCCTGTAATTTGCAAATGCTGGAGAATTGGTCTGATTATGCCAGTTTTAAGGGCAGGTGGAACATTGCCAGATGATTTCAATGATTAACACACCTTCAGCCAGAGAGAAGGAGCCAAGCAGTGAAATCAATTTTTGTTGTCTTTGATTGGAATAAAAACACATGTACTCTTTCAGGAATGACACATAGGTAAAAAACCCTGATGTCAGATATAGTCACTTTATGATGAAAACATACTGTAGACAACAACATGAGCCACTTATTCAACTTACAGCAGCTATTTTCTTGACCAGGTTCTTGGCACCATGCCACATGTCCTGACTGTGATGGATTCCAAGATCCTTGTATCTGCCTTCGTCTGGGTCTGTGAAGTGGGGAAGCATTTAATATAACTACAATATTTCAATCATCTTTTCAACACAGGTATTTGTACATTATATCAGATGAGTACTTACCCATAAGGGCTGCGATCTGGGCATTAGCACCTGTGCAGATCTCCACTAGCTTTATCTCTGATGTAAGCTTGTCCACAGCCTTGATAAAACCCTCCTTCTCCATGACGACAGAGTTGCAGGATGGGTGCTGCTTGTTGATGATGGCAACATGAATGATCTCCTTAGTGTCATTCTCCATGGTGGCGTAGCTGCAGTAATGTGCACGATGGCCTGGAGAGTCATATTTGCCATCCGCTGAAAAAAAGTAATTGAAACTGAATCCAAAAATATGAATTAGCTGCTCACATACTCTCACACTGCCATTGTGTAATCAGGATTCCCACTTTTGTCTGGAGATAAATTTCTAGGACTTTTCCAAGACATTTTCAGTGATGATCTAGTTGGTAAGACAGACAGGAATCACATCATACACTTATTAAGTGTAAGTTCCTCTCTGCAGTAACTGAATAGCCTTGACACAAATAATAGCCTACAGACAAATACCTGACCATTAAATTCATAATGGCCGACTTCCTGTTGGGTTTAGGGCATTGCTTCAAGAGGCTTTTTTGTATGTCTGGACATGATATATCTGCCACAAAAATTTTGTACATATTGGAGAAAAGTGGCCCGGGGGCTACTCTTTAGGGGCTGCTAGCGAGCCATTTTGCCACGCCCATACATGAAAACTTTCGACATGTAGATTTTTGGGGTCTTGAATTTTGTGCAAGGTTTCGTGAGTTTTTGAGCATGTTTAGGATGCCAATGTGTGCTTGGCAGAAAGAAAGACAAAAAAATAAATAGTTTCAATAGGGTCCTCATACGTTTCATGCTTGGGCCCTAATTAAGCCAATCCGTGGAAAATCAGTTTATCATATTATATGCTAGCTCTTTTACTAACAAAGCTAATCACAACCCACGGTGAGCTACAGCTAAAAAGTTTCATGTCATGTTACGGTCCATTTGTCCATCCAATGCGTTTGAAGAAACAATGCTAGACAAGTAAAAAGAGTGCATTTAGCCAGTATTTGATGAACATCCAGCTGGGCTCCCACTCCCACTGACTCTGGCTTCCTGTTAAACACCCAACAAACTTGAAAACACCGCTCCTAACCAGATTGGAAACAAACCTTGAACCTTTGCAGGCAAATCAAGCTAGCAATCATGTTAACTTCAGCAACTGATCAAACATGTTTAACATTATTGAACCATTTAAAACAAGCTGAGAACCTAATAAAAGCTACCACAGTTACCAGGTTGAGCGATGTCTACAAAATTTCCATCAGACAATGTCTACAATGAAACATCGGGATGGACAATGTCATCGGGTGCGCGGACGGGAACAGTCGTCTTATGTACATGTGTTCTCGCACAGACTTCACTCGGTAAAAGAAAAAAAAATAGGTAGACAGTTAAGTTACATCACAGGTAGCGGTGGATATTTTACGCACAGACCAGGTAAAGCAATGGTGAACACAGAGTGCAGATGTTGGTTTCATTTTTGTTTTCTTCGTTAATGAGCCAACGTGCGGCTCACTTGCTGCCGTGGTAAGTTATCGCGTGTGGAAATAAACGGAAAAAAGCCGAGTTCTCAGTCTTTTAGGCAACTTTATAAAACATACTGCTGATGGAGAAAACGGGGCAGACGGGGGGAGAGAGACAGAGAGAGGTGGAGCAAGCCAAGGTTTTTACTGGGGGGGTTACAATCATGATGCCAGCACAACGTCGTGATGTCAGCAGTGATTAATGTTTACCGTTGGAGGAAAATACAACTCACATTATTCATTCAGTTTTTGGTCACTTGAATTAATGCCATCAAACCTGTGTTCACAACAGTTCCAAACATAACCAAGCAACCGCAACATAATGTTAAAAAAAGATTTTCTTGGGCATTTTAGTTTTTCTCAAATTTTCCATGTCTTTTTCATGACTGGAAAACTGGTCAGCTATTTTCCAGGACATAGGAACCATGCATCTTCAATACTTGCATAACATGGTAAAGTTTCAGCTACGCACCTAGGACCACAACATCTTTACCCTGAAGGCCACTGAGGGCCTCAGTCCTCCTCTCTTCCCAGAAGGCCTTCACTGTGTCCACACAGTAAGCGTCCTGAATGGACACGAAGGTGTTCTTCTTCACCATCCCCATGTTCATGAACTTGAACAAGAGGGCGACCTTCGCATAGTCGTTGCCAGACAACAAAATGTTGGTGGACAAGAGAAAATCTCCAGCTTGCGTCCCACACTTCATTACAGGCTGGGAATTCCACCTCCACAAGCTGTGTCCATTGGGACAGATCTGAAAGTCCAAGAAAAGGCAGGATTGCATTTGGCATGTACAGCACTGGCTTTCACTACAAATGTGTTTTAATGGGAATTTACAGTTATGATACGCTGCGACTGTCAGGACTTACCCATTCGACACTCGTTGCTGTGCCCTTGGAAGTGATGTTGATCTCAAAGGGGGCAACACAGTCACACACCACACCAGTCTTTAAAAGGCCTGTACATTTTTTCACAGGCAGGATCAGAAATGTAGCCAGCTGTCTCAAGCAGTCCTCGTATACTATTGAAGCTCTGGCACCAACGATGTCATCTTCACAAAGGACCTGATGTGGGGATGGGAAAACAGGGTCCTGATCACAGGGAGAAGCCTCATCAGGAGGGTCTTCACGTGCAGGCTGGTCATGCGCTGCCTCGCCCGTTCCAATAACTGGAAGTCGATCGATCGATGGTGCTTTCTTTAATGCTCCACCCATTCTGTTGAGGCCCAACATGAAGACATATGTGTAAAGATTTGAATAAAAGCTGGCATCACAGAACAACAGCAGAGTAAAGACTGACCGATAACACACCGTATACAAATGGGTGGAAGATCCTCTTCATCAGAGCTGTCATCTTTATCTCCATCATCTTTTTCATGAAAGTAAGAAGAGCCTTCATCTGTCCAATCAATTCTGTAAAAGGAGGACATATTCAGAAAACAATAACTCCTACAAAGAGAACACTAAATAGTAATAAATGTCATTATGGAGCACTACTTACACACTGTTCAAGGGGTTATTGAAAACTTTGAGCTTCTCATCCATGCTCATGTCATGTAAGCTGTAGAAATCAAACCATTAAAATATATAAATTATGAATACATAAAAAACACAAGACATGTAGTGCAAAGAAGTTATGACAGTTGAACTGTTACCTTTGTTCAATGTCCATTTCTGTGGCTTCTGCAGTGACATTCAGACGTTCATCTCTGAAAAGATTAACCAGAACATGATACAGTATCTCACAAAAGTGAGTACACCCCTCGCATTTTTGTAAATGATTATATCTTGTGACAACACTGAAGAAATGACACTTTGCTACAATGTAAAGTAGTGAGTGTGCAGCTTGTATAACAGTGTAAATTTGCTGTCCCCTCAAAATAACACATCACACAGCCGTTATCGTCTAAACAGCTGGCAACAAAACTGAGGACACCCCTAAGTGAAAATGTCCAAATTGGGCAAGTGTCAATATTTTGTGTGGCCACCATTATATTCCAGCACTGCCTTAACCCTCTTGGGCACGGAGTTCACCAGAGCTTCACAGGTTGCCACTGGAGTCCTCTTCCATTCCTTCATGACGACGTCACGGAGCTGGTGGATGTTAGAGACCTTGCGCTCCTCCACCCTCCATTTGAGGACGTCCCACAGATGCTCAATAGGGTTTAGGTCTGGAGACATGCTTGGCCAGTCCATCACCTTTACCCTCAGCTTCTTCAGCAAGGCAGTGGTCGTCTTAGAGGTGTGTTTTGGGGTCATGTTGGAATACTGCCCTGCGGCCCAGTCTCAGAAGGGAGGGGATCCTGCTCTGCTTCATTACATTTATTCATTTAGCTGACGCTTTTATCCAAAGCGACTTACAAGTGCTATACATGTCAGAGGTCGCACGCCTCTGGAGCAACTAGGGGTTAAGTGTTTTGCTCAGGGACACAATGGTGGATGGGTCACAGTGAGGGATTGAACCTGGGTCTCCCACAGTCTTCAGTATGCCACAGTGCATGTTGGCATTCATGGTTCCCTCACTGAACTGTAGCTCCCCAGTGCCGGCAGCACTCATGCAGCCCCAGACCAGGACACTCACATCACCATGCTTGACTGTAGGCAGGACACACTTGTCTTTGAACTCCTCTCACCTGGTTGCCGCCACACACGCTTGACACCATCTGAACAAAATAAGTTTACCTTGGACTCATCAGACCACAGGACATGGTTCCAGTAATCCATGTCCTCAGTCTGCTTGTCTTCAACAAACTGTTTGCAGGCTTTCTTGTGCATCATCTTTAGAAGAGGCTTCCTTCTGGGACGGCAGCCATGCAGACCAATTTGATGCATTGTGCGGCCTACGGTCTGAGCACTGGCAGGCTGACCCCCCACCCCTTCATCCTCCGCAGTAATGCTGGCAGCACTCGCACGTCTTTTTCCCAAAAACAACCTCTGGATATGACGCTGAGCACGTACACTCAGCTTCTTTGGTCGACCATGGCGAGGGCTGTTCTGAGTGGAACCTATCCTGTTGAACCGCTGTATGGACAACGCCACCGCGCTCCTGAGCTGAGTTTTTTTTATGTAAAGCAACCATTCTTTTTTCGGATCCTCAGAGACTTCTTTGCCATGAGGTGCCATGTTGAACTTCCAGTGACCAGTATGAGGGAGTGTGAGAGCGATAACACCAAATTTAACCCACCTGCGCCATTCACCCCATTCACACCTGAAATCGTGTAACACTAACAAGTCACATGACACCAGGGAGGGAAAATGGCTAATTGGGCCCAGTTTGGACATTTTCACTTAGGGGTGTCCTCAATTTTGTCACCAGCGGTTTAGACATTAATGGCTGTGTGATGTGTTATTTTGAGGGGACAGCAAATTTACACTGTTATACAAGCTGCACACTCACTACTTTACATTGTAGCAAAGTGTCATTTCTTAAGTGTTGTCACATGAAAAGATATAATAAGATATTTACAAAAATGTGAGGGATTTACTGACTTTTGTGAGATACTGTACATCCCACATATGGAGATACAGCAACTTTACTGTAAATATTATATTAATGACTTGCCTGTCCATCCTTCTAGAAGCACCGATGCTAGACACTGCTGCAGCTGTGTCTTGAAAAGGTGTTTCCTCCATTGGAGTCGATGCTGCAGATCCTCTCTCATAGCTGGAGAAACAGCAGCAACATCAAGAGAATAAGTGCTACATGACACAGCTGCACACCCCTGTAATACATAATGCATGTGCCACCAAAATTTCATACATGTAGGTAAAACGTGCCACGGGGGCTGCTTCGTTGAAGATCACTTCCTGTTGCCAGCAGGTGGCGCTATCATCATGGGTGAATGTCAGCATGTACATGTGTTCAGGGCGGGAGTCTTATTAAACGTGTAAAATTTCGTAAAGATCTGAGCATGTACAGTCGAGTTACAACAACTTCCTGTGCCACGGTGAAGCGTGGAACTTCGCCGCCATGCCACCACCACGCCACCGCCACGCAGTTAACCGAAAACTCACGAGTTAACCGAAAACTCACGAGTTTTACAACATGGCCTCATGAATGTGTTACGGGTTTTCGGGGACAGTTCTGAAGTTGATAGGTCCAACCTGAAAGGAGTAGTACATTACAACGTAAAACGTGTCATTTCCAGTTGCCAGCAGGTGGCGCTATGACATTGAGTGAATATTGGCACATGGATGGGTTCAGGGCGCGACTCTTAATATACATATCAAATTTGGTCCAGATGTCAACATGTATACAGAAATTAAAACATCTTCCTGTTTCATGGCGAATCATCGATTTTTGACAGCAACTGGTCGTCTGGTAATAATAATAATAACCGCTTGAATAACTTTTAATCGTCAATGTAAGTAAGTAAATAAAGTTTATTTGTATAGCACCTTTCACAGATAAAGGTGCTATGCAAATACAGATAAATGGGTTTAGACAGCGAAAATTTGAAGTCAACCGGTCTAATTTGCTAGGAGTTCGTTAAAGTACAAAGTGTGTGGCTAAAATGCCAAAAATGACCATTAAATCCAAACCGGCCGACTTCCTGTTGGGTGTCGGGCATCGCCCCAAGAGGCTTTTTTGTACGTCTGGCCATGATACACGACCATGAATACGGTTCGTGCTCGGGCCCTAATAACTTGCAACATAAACTCAACACAAAGCACTCCTATTAATGGAGGCTGTGGGATGCAAATCAACCTTTGGCCATGGCATGGACCTGTGCATCAGATTCCACCTATGTGCAATGTAAAACAACAACATTGCACCTTTTTGTAAAGAAACAAGAGCAAGTAAACAACATGTTTGACCTTTGATAGGCACTGCACAGCGTTTTGACTGAATAATCAGCATTAATAAATCAATCTTTCCCAGCAGGACTGTAAAATATGAAGTGTGGCTGTGTTAGCAGCTGGCTGACATGAGCTCCAAGGTTTCTGGTTAACGTTACACTTCGATTGGCAGTAATTTTCGGGTCTGTTGGGTCCAAATAACGAAGATAAATTGTAGGATTTGTCGCATGAAAGTAAAACTACAGTCCTGGTAGTAATTACTGAGTTGGTAAGTCTCCCTGTGGCCATGTTCCAGCTGAAGCTACCAAACAACACGTTGCGTTTAGATCGGGCTAAATTACCTGTGCAGCAGAAAACAGGCAACTTCGGCGTCACTCTGAAAACATTTGTCCCTCTTCAGAGATTTCCATTTGGGGAAGGCCGCACCGATGTTTATCCTTGATTTCTGCCGTCGTCTCTCCCGATTTCGTCTTCCTTCGTCGTGTTTTTGCTTCTTTGACGGAGTTGATTCTCGCTCCTTTGCTTTTTCTTCTGCTAAATAATACGTATGATCCTCCATTTGTCAAAATGTTGGCTTCTCGGTTAGCCAGCAAACACTTCAAACTCATCTCATCTTCTTTCTTCTCCTCCGTCTGTTTTCTACCATCTGCACATGGATGCAGGGTCTGCAGGAGAGGAAGGTTCCGGTTTCCGCCTGTAGTCCGGGGAGTATTGACCAATCACGTTGCAGCGGGCTTTGGTTGCCTGCAGGTAAACAGTCCGTGTGGAGCGCAAAAGAGGCGGAACGCATCGGCCGAAATGTGAACTCTGAACTAGAGCCCTGCACAGACCCAAAACTTGGGTGCAGCCTCACAACATTAGGTGCGTTTTACTTCATGCGGCGCTGCGCAGCGCTGACTTATGGCAAGCCATTAGTGCCCAAAAAAATGTCGCGGGAGCAAGGCGGCTGCAGGCGCCGAGCCCGGTGTTGCGCCGAATTATGCCTGCAGAGAATTGCATGCACCTCGCGAGTGATAACGGTCATTTGCTGAGGAAAGAAGTGGGTGCAAATCTCGGCAGGTTGCCTACAAAATTTGTTATGCCAGATTATGCATCCACCTCTTTAGTTCCTGTGCTCATTGATCAAACGCGGTTATCACCACATATTTACTGAATCTCAAGGAATGGTACTTCTATATGTTTATTAAAATATTAAAGACTCTAAACGTTAATAAAATATATACTTCGAATCAATCACCACTGATGAACCCATCCATCCATCCATCGTCAACCGCTTATCCTGGGTACAGGGTCGTGGGGAGCTAATCCCAGCTGACATCGGGCGAAAGGCGGGGTTCCCCCCCCGGACAGGTCGCCAGTCCATTGATGAACCCCACAAAGAATAGTATAGCGTTTAAAAGCAGTATTTGGAGGTGCATGCAATTCTCCGCAGGCAGGCAAAACTCGGCATAACACCAGCAGCTGCAGTTGCTTTTCAGAGATGGGGACTCGAGTTAGAGACTCGGACTCGAGTGCGACTTAAGTTGCACACACAGTGACTTGAGACTCGACTTGAGACTCATCCTCAAAAGACTTAAGACTCGACTCGGACTCGAGGTGCGGGACTCGTGAACAATGTTTATTTTTAGGAAACGTCTGATGAGCTTGCCGTTATTCCCTCCCTCCGTTACCTATAACCTGCCTACGTAACACGTAACATCTGCTGCACACGGCCGCACGTGAGAGAGGTCAACAAACACCGGCAGCTTCTGTGCCATTCATCATAAAATTTGGCTTTAAAACTTCATACAAGACCCAAACAAAGAAGCGCTGAAAGCAAACATGTGGTAATGTTTAGCTCAGCATTGACCATCTAACGTTAGCTTGCTTCATGCTTCCGCTACGACCCACGAGTCTGCAGGGTGTGTTGACTTACAGTAGTTTAAGATGCCACTGATTGCATTGCACATTACATGGTTGTGCTCTGTAAGTTTTTTTTTGCCAAAATATTTTTATTAAGATTTTCTTCATGTAAATACAATCACAATCTTGTTAATACAAATGTGTCCATGTGAGCATAATGACTGTATTACATGAATTTAAACCCATAAAAAGGCAATAATTAAGCAGGAAAAAACTAATACAGTGAATAGCGCTTCTCTCTTCAACAGGGGTCATTAAGCATAAAAATAAAAACATAGTATAACATATAATCTTATCTCAAAGTATACATTCTTCCACTTTTATTTAAAGTGAAATTTAAACTTAAACTTAAATTGTGGAACTGCAGGTTTCATTGTCTCAAAAGTCCAAAGAATCATCTATCAAATCCAAGTCCTTAATAAAGTCTATGAAAGGTCAGAAGATTTTTATTTGTCTGCACTCCCACGTGCAATGTATTAGTGTTCTCTGGAGCCACACTTTATGCATACATCCGGTATATTGTTATTATATTTATTAAGTTTCACAGGGGTAACATATACGTGCATGAGCCATTTATATTGTAGCATTATAAGACGGCTATTTATAGACATGGTATGGGTTTTAGCACAAGCCCTTTCCCAATCCTGCTCTCCAAGCAATAATGACAGATCCATATTCCAAGACATAAGTTTATCCCTCGAATTCTCTGCTGTAGTGGAGATCAATAGATTATAAAAAAAAAAAATGAAATAATGCCTTTTCTCAATTTATTTTTAACCATCAACATTTCCAGCGGTGTAAGGGGAGGTTTACTTAGATTACTATGATTCGCTTTCACAAAACTTCTCAACTGAAGGTATTTAAAATAGTGTTTATTATCAAGCTTAAATTTGGATTATAACTCTTCAAAGGACATAAATATATCAGACTCTGATGGATAAAGGTCAGTAATTGTCCTACAGATGCCCATCATTTTAAAGTTGCATCTGCCCTTCCTGGTACAAAGAGCTGGTTGCCCCATATTGGGCTAAATTGTGACAAAATGTTTGATTCTTTGAAAGATTTACTAACATCATGCCAGACTTTAATCATATTTTTTAGTATTGGATTTCTAGTTTGTTTCTGTAGGTTTTTTTTTGTCAGAATACATGAATAATGGAAGAGATCATTTTAAATCATGAGACTCCATTTCGACCCAATGTGGATTGTTTTTCTTGAAAAGTAAAAGATGATAGTCCTTAACTGTGTGGCCCAATAGTAGAATAAAGTTACTAAAGTTGGGACACTTTAGCCCTCCACCATCGAATGGTAAATAGAGTAAGGAGAGACGAATCTTACGCATCCCATTATTCCATATAAAGCCCACAATAGTTTTTTTCAACCATATAAAAAGTTCAGGAGGAGGTGGCAGCGGAATCTTTTGAAAAAGGTAAAGTAACTTTGGCAGTACATTCATTTTTAGAATATTGACTCTTCACATTAAGGATATAGGCATGGTTGTCCATCTGTTAATTGAATCATTTATTGTTTTCATTAGATGCTCATAGTTAGTTTTAACAACCTGATTTAATACTGGAAAAATCTGGACACCTAAATAGGTAAAATTTTCCACTACTTTAAATTGGTTGTGCTCTTTAAATGAAAAACAGGTTACAGTTACAGAATTCCTTATAGCTATGCAGTTTTATTAGCAACCTGGATTGAACGCAGCAGGTGATACAACATTCATTATAACCACGAGAGACTTGACTCTAGCTCAGAGACTTGACTTGGACTCTAGCTCAGAGACTTGAGACTTGACTTGGACTCTAGCTCAGAGACTTGAGACTTGACTTGGACTCTAGCTCAAAGACTTGACTTGGACTCTAGCTCAGAGACTTGAGACTTGACTTGGACTCTAGCTCAAAGACTTGACTTGGACTCTAGCTCAGAGACTTGAGACTTGACTTGGACTCTAGCTCAAAGACTTGACTTGGACTCTAGCTCAGAGACTTGAGACTTGACTTGGACTCTAGCTCAGAGACTTGAGACTTGACTTGGACTCTAGCTCAAAGACTTGACTTGGACTCTAGCTCAGAGACTTGACTTGGACTCTAGCTCAAAGACTTGACTTGGACTCTAGCTCAGAGACTTGAGACTTGACTTGGACTCTAGCTCAGAGACTTGAGACTTGACTTGGACTCTAGCTCAAAGACTTGACTTGGACTCTAGCTCAAAGACTTGACTTGGACTCTAGCTCAAAGACTTGACTTGGACTCTAGCTCAAAGACTTGACTTGGACTCTAGCTCAGAGACTTGAGACTTGACTTGGACTCTAGCTCAAAGACTTGACTTGGACTCTAGCTCAGAGACTTGAGACTTGACTTGGACTCTAGCTCAAAGACTTGACTTGGACTCTAGCTCAGAGACTTGAGACTTGACTTGGACTCTAGCTCAAAGACTTGACTTGGACTCTAGCTCAGAGACTTGACTTGGACTCTAGCTCAGAGACTTGACCTGGACTCTGGCTCAGAGACTTGACTTGGACTCTAGCTCAAAGACTTGACTTGGACTCTAGCTCAGAGACTTGAGACTTGACTTGGACTCTAGCTCAGAGACTTGACCTGGACTCTAGCTCAGAGACTTGACTTGGACTCTAGCTCAGAGACTTGACCTGGACTCTAGCTCAGAGACTTGACTTGGACTCTAGCTCAGAGACTTGACTTGGACTCTAGCTCAAAGACTTGACTTGGACTCTAGCTCAAAGACTTGACTTGGACTCTAGCTCAGAGACTTGAGACTTGACTTGGACTCTAGCTCAGAGACTTGACCTGGACTCTAGCTCAAAGACTTGACTTGGACTCTAGCTCAGAGACTTGTGAGCATCTCTGTTGCTTTTCCCCGGCTGCACCAAGTTGGAACCACACTTTTGCCTGGTCTTGCAGCATTTTTCTTTGCAAAGAGTGATTCAGTTCATTCTGACACCAGATTGTCATTAGACTTAAAAATTTAGTCTAATGACATTAGAAGTTCATTCTTGACAATCAGGTGGATTTAGTAACTGTTCAGCAGAGTTGGCCCAGTTGATATGGAATTGTAGATAAGTTGTAGAAATTAACCACGAGAGACTTGACTCTAGCTCAGAGACTTGACTTGGACTCTAGCTCAGAGACTTGAGACTTGACTTGGACTCTAGCTCAAAGACTTGACTTGGACTCTAGCTCAGAGACTTGAGACTTGACTTGGACTCTAGCTCAGAGACTTGAGACTTGACTTGGACTCTAGCTCAAAGACTTGACTTGGACTCTAGCTCAGAGACTTGAGACTTGACTTGGACTCTAGCTCAAAGACTTGACTTGGACTCTAGCTCAAAGACTTGACTTGGACTCTAGCTCAGAGACTTGAGACTTGACTTGGACTCTAGCTCAAAGACATGACTTGGACTCTAGCTCAGAGACTTGACTTGGACTCTAGCTCAAAGACTTGACTTGGACTCTAGCTCAAAGACTTGTCTTGGACTCTAGCTCAAAGACTTGTCTTGGACTCTAGCTCAGAGACTTGAGACTTGACTTGGACTCTAGCTCAAAGACTTGACTTGGACTCTAGCTCAAAGACTTGACTTGGACTCTAGCTCAGAGACTTGAGACTTGACTTGGACTCAAGCTCAGAGACTTGACTTGGACTCTAGCTCAGAGACTTGACTTGGACTCTAGCTCAAAGACTTGACTTGGACTCTAGTTCAGAGACTTGAGACTTGACTTGGACTCTAGCTCAGAGACTTGACCTGGACTCTAGCTCAAA